TCTCGATGTGTTTGTTGTCGTCTACCTCGACGATATCCTGATATTCTCCAAGAACCCCGAAGATCACCCCAAACATGTCCGCGAAGTCTTGTCCCGCCTCCGACAGCATGGGTTGTACGCCAAACCAGAGAAGTGCGAATTCAACCGCGAATCCGTTGAGTTCCTAGGCTTCATCATCTCCGAGAAAGGCATCCAGATGGACCCCAAGAAGATCGCTGCCATCACGGATTGGGAACCTCCCAAGACTGTCAAAGGCGTCCAGCGGTTCCTCGGCTTTGCCAACTTCTATCGCCGATTCATCCAAGGTTATTCCAAGATCGCTACCCCGCTCACAGCCCTGACCCGGAAAGACATCCCGTACGCCTGGACACCCGCCGCAAACACCGCCTTCGAGAACCTGAAGAAAGCATTCACCACCGCCCCCATCCTTGCTCACCCTGACCCAGAGAAGCCCTTCGTCGTCGAAACTGACGCCTCCGACTTCGCTCTTGGCGCAGTTCTCCTCCAACCTGACCAGGACAATCAGCTCCACCCCGTGGCCTTCCACTCTCGCAAATTCACGGCCGAAGAGATCAACTACGAGATCTACGACAAGGAACTTCTGGCCATCCAAGACTCCTTTGCCCAGTGGCGACACCATCTCATTGGCGCCCGTCACAAGATCACCGTTTACTCCGACCATAAAAACCTTCAGTACTTCATGACCACCCGCACCCTGAACCGCCGCCAAGCCCGCTGGTCGATATTCTTCTCGGATTTTGACTTTGTCATTACCTATCGCCCCGGTTCCCAGCAGCACCAAGCCGATGCCCTCTCCCGACGCTCCGAACATGAGCTAAAAAAGGGGGAAGAAGCGTTCCGCTCCCAGGCAACCACAATTTTGACTCCCGAACGCCTTCGACTCGCCGCGGCCTACCTCACACCCATGGATACCACGCTGCTTGACAAGATTAAGGCCGCCCAGGCCTCTGATCCCCTCGCTAAGACCATTCGCAAAAAGCTCAAGATACCCCTCGCCCAACGAACCGAGGAAACCCAAGATCGTATCAAGCGGTTCTCAGATGAAGATGGGATCCTGCTGCACGATAACCTGGTCTATGTCCCCACCAACGAGCTCCGAGCTGAAGTCTGCCACGACATGCACGATACACCCCTAGCCGGCCACTTTGGGATGTCCAAGACGCTCGAACTCGCCTCCCGCAACTACTGGTGGCCCAGCCAGTGGCGCTTCGTCAAGGCCTACGTCAAGTCCTGCGATACCTGTAGCCAAGCGAAATCCAGTCGACACAAACCATATGGCCTACTCCAGCCCAACAGTATCCCTACCCGCCCTTGGGGATCTTGGTCCCTGGACTTTATCACCGGTCTGCCTCCCGTGGACGGGTACGACTCCATCCTGAACGTCAACTGTCGCCTCACCAAGATGGCCCACTTCATCGCCTGCAGCGAGTCAGAATCCGCCGAATCCACCGCCGACCTAGTCTTCCACAACATCATCCGTCTCCACGGCCTCCCCGACGACGTCATCTCTGACCGAGGACCCCAGTTTAAGTCCCGGTTCTGGCGTCGACTTCTCGAACTCCTTGGGGCAAAAGCCAACCTCTCCTCGGCCTTCCACCCCCAGAGCGATGGCCAGACGGAACGCACCAACCAGATCCTGGAGCAGTATCTCCGATGCTTTTGCAACCACCAACAGGACAACTGGAAACAGCTTCTGTCGTCCGCCGAGTTCGCCTACAACAACACCCACCAGTCCGCCTCCCAGACCACCCCCTTCTACGCCAACAAGGGTCTCCACCCCCGCTTCAGTTTCGCGGCCTCTGCTACCTCCGAATCCGTCAACCCCGCCGCTGAAGCCCGCGCTAAACAAATCAGGGAAGTCCATGAACAGCTCGCCCTCGAGCTCAAGGAGCCCAAGATCAAATGAAGCGCTACGCCGACGCTAAACGAATTCCTGGACCGGACTTCAAGCCTGGCGACCACGTCTGGCTCCTCCGCAAAAACCTCCAGACAACCCGGCCCTCTCAGAAACTCGACCATCGCAAGATTGGGCCATTCCCCATCGTTGAAAAAATCAATCCCGTCGCCTACCGGCTCAAGCTCCCGCCTACGTACAAAATCCACGATGTCTTCCATGTCTCGCTCCTCGAACCCCGCTTCACCATCCCCGAACGACACGAACCCGAACCCGCGCCCCCAGAGACCGTTGAGGGTCAAGAAGAGTGGGTTGTCGAAGCCATCCTTGACTCTCGCATCCATTGTCGTCGCCTTCAGTACTTGGTCAAATGGCAGGGCTGGCCTGACTCCGAGAACACCTGGGAGCCCGTGGAACACCTCACCCATACCGACGCACTCCTCCAGGACTTCCACAGCGCGTACCCCAACAAGCCTTCCTCTGTCCCCGTAGCACCTCCTCTGCGGCCACACCAAACTCGACGCCGCCGCCGCCGCCGCTAAAGAGAGGGGTGATGTTATGGACGACGCGCCCATACCATAAGCTTACCTACTGACAGCCGCCAATGTCAACCGCCAAATGTCAAACGCCAATGTCAATGTCAGTGTCAATGTCAGTGTCAATGTCAATGTCAATGCCACTCCCCCTCTCTCCTCTCATTTCGCCAATCCTCTTGCAATATCGCCACTCCTCCTCTCTCCTCTCATTTCGCCAATCCCCCCTCGGCTTCTCCACACCCCCCACTGCTTCCCCATAGCCAGCAGCTGTAGCAATGCTCTCTACGCTCGCCACGCACGCTCTAGGAGCATAGCTGGCGCCCCCCCCAGTCCCTCTTGTTGTTGTTGTTCTCTGATCTGCTGGGTTGCCTATCTATAAATAGCCGGCCTCTCTTCGTCCATTCCCTTCCTCCCCAGCAGATCAACACCAGTTCTTCTCACCTCCTCTTCCAGTCCTTGTTTCTTGTTCCGCCAATACAATCTCTTGTCGCCTATCACACTTGCCCTGTCTTCTCTACTTCGCTTCCGCCCCCGTCGTCGAGATCATAACATGCCTCCACCTTTGGGCCGGCATACGCCAAGTCAATGTTTGCTGCCGCAAATGTGGGTTCAACAAAGTTTCGAACGTGCGTGGATCTGGAAGCTCATTAGCATGTCATTCTTCCCATACTTCAGACGTTTGGGTTGATGGACAGGAAGACCGCCATCGACGTTGAGACGCAGGGACAAGTTGTAGGACAATTTCGTTCGCAGTATTCTTTCCGAGATCTCGTGTTTCAGTATCTCACTTCAACCAAACCGGTTTTCACTGGGAATTTCAAGCTCAATGGTCAGGAGCATAAATCACTTGCTCTTGGTAGGAGCCGCCCTTTACATTACGCGGTAATGGTACCAGACGTTGATGTGCTATTGTTCATGTAGGTAGGCCCATTGGGGTGCGGGAAGTCAACCATTATTGGGATACTGCAACCTTGGTATGATCCCTGGCAGGATCCGCCACCGTTGGCGGAATTCCGATATGCCAGTACCCATTGAAAGCGCTGCGCTCGCAAATGGCTTTGGTAAGAGAAACGATTTGTACCCCACTTACCCTGCATAAACTATACCAGGTCGGTCAAGAACCAGTACTCTTCGACCTAAGCATTGCGGAAAACATCGCCTGGGGCTGTGAACACCCTGTTAAAATGGTAAGGTTAGGGAGGAAATCCAGTTGAACGGAAAGATTGAATGAACTGTTTATAGGAGGAAATAGAGGAAGCGGCCCGCCAAGCAAATGTGGATGCCTTTGTGGCTGCTGTACCCGACGGTGAAGTTTCAAGCTCATTCCATTTCCTTTGATGTTCTCGTTCATTAAGAGCATTGAACATTAGGTTACGCAACACGTTGTGGGGAGAAAGGCGGCCATTTATTGGGCGGTGAGCCAACAGATATGATGTATTTTTACCACTGTCAAACGGGAATTGCTGACAAAACCGCACTAGGTCAAAAGCAGCGGATCGCAATCGCTAGATCTCTGATCAGAAAACTGAAAATTTTTCTCTTAGGTTGGTCAGCCACCATTGCTGTGATTTGGTTGCCGCTAGGAATTTACACTTGCACTTTTCCTTGCAAAAATGAAGCCACATCTGCCATTGATAGTAAAGCGGAAGCGGAGGTTCAAAAAGCCATAGGCAAAGCCTCAGCAGGTCGTACTGCGGTCATTATCGCCCATCTCCATGGCAGATTTTTGTTGAGCACACTTGCCGTTAATGTGCAACGGACATCTAACATCTTGGCCCGACAACATGAAACAGCCTTTCCACCATCAAGAATGTGATTGTATAGCCGTCAGTTGTGAAGGTCGCGTCGTAGAGATGGGTAAACATGAGGAATTGGGGGCGAGGAATGGGATCTATGCGGATATGTGCTGTCAGCAGAATCTTTGAAAGCCTACTTAATTCATGCATCCTGCGTCACACTGATATTGCGGCATGGCTAGCGCCGAACGGCTTCGTTTTTGGGTTGACCCAATATTCAAATATAGCAAATCAAGGACCTCACAGGCATTACGATTACTCTCCGGACGGCTGTATCCCTCTCGCACATCTTTCTGTGACATTGCACGTCCTTTTTTTGGATCAGCCACGCTTGATTGAGGCTCTCATCAATAATGCCTAGGGTTAGAGTTTGCGTGGACAGTAGATGTACAATTCTCAGAGGCACACATTTGTACGCTTAGCAATGCGAGATATCATGCAAGTGGTCTCATTTACTACCGATCGCACACAATATGGATGGGCACATCTGCTTCCTTGTCTTTTACGGGCACCGAGGGGATTCGGTTGTTGGTGCAAAACAAACCAGATGGAATCTCCTCTGTCATCTCGGGATATTTGGTTTGTACAGTAGTTCTTGAAAAGTACAGGAAACACCAAATCATTCAAGACGCATAGAAACTCAACAAGCCTGGGTGGTCGAAGATGTAAGGGATTGACAGATTTCGACAGTGCGAAGGCATCTTCGGGATCTCCGACTCGGACCTAGGGACCAGCCCTCTTATCCAGCGATTAATTTCCCATCGTCATCAAATTCTGCGCTTGAAGATTGGTAGAAGGGAATGCGATTCCTCATTCACCACCTCCTGTACGCCCTCACTCTCCTCCCACAAATCTCCGCCGAAATCCCCTCCCACACCCTTCCCCTCCTCACCTCCCAAGACCCCTCAAATCTCCTCGCTCCTCCCCCACAACCAAAGAAACAGTCCCACCACACCCTTGTCTCCACCGCTCTCTACGACCAGGACTCCATCGACTCCTGGCCGGACTATTTTGACCATCTGGACGAAGATGGGTTGGCGCCGTTGACCAAGGAGGTTCAGAAGTGGATTTGGGAGCGGCAGAATCCCAAGGAGGAGGAGTGTGAGGGGGGGAGGTTTCTGGTCACGGACGGGTGGGCGAGTGGGTTGGGGAGTGCCGTACATGGTCAGTCGAATGTGTCCGACACATGTCATATACGAGGATGTTGACCCCATATGTGATTCTCACACAGTCATCGGCCACCACCTCGGCTCAGCTCTCGAAGACTCCCGCATCCTCCTCTACAACCCCTCCAGCTCCGGCGCCGGCTCGCTCTACGCCGACCCGGGCTGCAACCGCTCTTCCCCGACCACGACCTTCGACTGCTTCTTCCGCCCGCTATCCACCTGCAGCCACGCCCACGCCCTGTCCTCGCCTGACACCACCCACGTCAAAACCTCCCATGCCGTGCCCAGACCGTACAATGGAGCGCCGACATATTGGCGGGAGCGGTTGAGGGAAGAGCTTGGGGAAGGGTTGACGGACGCTTTTATAAAGTATTGGTGGAGGGCGCAGAGCGCCGCGTATGTGATGCGGTTGAATGGGGAGACGGCGCGCGAGGTGAGGGCGTTGAGAATGGAGGAGAAGAGACAGAAGGTGTGGACGAGGGAGGGGGAGGTTAGTGGGATGCCGTTTCCGCTGCCGGGTGGGGTGGTGGGGATGCATGTGCGGCATGGGGATAAAGGGCACGGTAATGTCTGCTTTCCTTTTTTGTGAACCCATTTTTTAGGGGACTGAACGATTTTGTCTATCTGGACAGAAATGAATCTCGTCCCGCTTGAAACGTTCATGCAGGCCTTCCATACCCTTACCTCCCAGAACCCGCTCCACTTCCGCTCCCACGCCTTCATCTCCTCCGAAAACCCCTCGGTCATCGCCTCCGCCTCCCACCTCCCCACCGCCTTCGCACCTTCCACCCCTGCTTTCCCGACAACCAACCTCGTCATCTACACCACCGACATACCGCGCATCAACACCTCCCCGTTCGAGCAGCTCAACAGATTTGGGAAGTCGCGAATGACGCATTTTTGGTTGTTGCAGATGATGATGCAGTTGGAGTGTAGTGCGTGGATCGGGACCAGAGGGAGTAATTGGAATAGGTTAGTGGATGAGTTGAGATGTGTGTGGGTGGATAGGTGTGCAGGGGTGTATGTGGAGGTCGGGAGTAAGGGGGATTGGGGGGAGTATAATTGGTAGAGTGCGGGGTTAGGTTCGGGGAAATGTGCGCTGATACAATAGAGTTCTGCTACGGTAGAGCAGATACAGTAGACGTTTGCTAGGATGCCTCCCTATGGGAGGGCAATGTGTAAGATGTGATTTCCCCCTCCTTGCCGCGTATTCCAAAGCCGTAACCCTCCCGAATTCAAAGACGGAGCGGCGATGAAGAAATCCCGCAATTCTGGGAAGCGACTGCAACAAGATTAGCGTTAGATCTGTATGGAGATGGAAGACGAGCAGATGTCAAATTGGAGGTCTCAGGATCGCGGTTGTGCTCTGGGGGGGGGATCCGAACAAGGCAATGATACTCTTGGATCCAAGTTAAGGCAAAAGCTGACATCCCGCTTTTCCTTTGGAGCGGAATCGTAGTTGTTGGAGCTGGATTTTCGTATTTTGTCGGGGCTTGTGATGTTCTATCCCAGAAATTGGAGGTTATAAATGTACAGTCAACGGACAAAAAGCTGTGCATCCCCTGAAATAAATCAGCGACTGCCGCAGCGCCAAATTCACGTGAGTGACCGACTTTGATTTCAATTAGAAGGGGTGCACAGGTTTATGTCCGTTGACTGTACACAGCTTTTCGAGCGGGGACAGGTGAAATCCATCTGTCCCCGTCCGTTCTGCGCTTGATTTTGTGATATTGCCACATTCAATGATCCATCCTCACCCTGGCCATCGAATGCCCTAGGAAAACTGCAACAAACCAAAAAGAAAGATGCAAAACGCTGGTAACGCGTTATTCGCTGTCAATCTGAATGTCAGTCTAATGGACTCCGTTCGGAGGTTGCTTGTAGTAAGCTTCTCTATTATTCTTCTCGAGTGAATAAATAACAGATAACCCTATAGCCCTTTCCTTTCCTTTATCTCTTTTTCACTCGAGTGCACAGATCATAGAACGGGACGGAGCCCTCTTCAGATTCACAACCAACCCCACCTCGTAGTACACCGAACCTGTGCCGAGCACCGTTCTCGAACTCTGATGAATCTTTTGGATGGAAGGTCTTTGAAAAGTGTGAACAGCGGCATCCATCGGGCCCACGGGCCCATGTTTGTGTCCATTACGTCGGATTTCTTCTACAGTCGATTGCTTTTTCACACCCTCCATCAACTTGGAAGATGCGCAGAAGGGAGGGAGCAACATTTCACAAGGGGGAGATTTAATTTCGCAAGGGGGAGATGCTCAGATAGATCAGCCAGGGCGGGAACAGCCGGAAGTGGGTGGGTGGGTGGTCACCGACGCCGGGTGCTTGTGGCCACTGGGGCGGCGCGCACGTGATCCGACCCAGGCTGTGGGGCTGATTGGGATCCCCTCACTACAGTATATGCGGTGCGCGTCCTGTCCCGTCCCGTCGTCGCGGCAAGCGGCGAGTGTAATAGTGTGCCCCTGCTTCCCCCTCACTCGGAGTCCCTGCGAGCAAGCAACGGGCGGCTCCCACGGTTCTCTCCCCCTCCTCAGCATCCTAACAACTCTCGGCGTTCTCGGAGCACGACGCCCGCCCACTTCTCATATCCATATCGATATCTATGGCCGAACACACACAGGTATGGGCGGCCATATCTTGTCGTGTACTATGCCACTATGTACTCTGTATGCAGCAACTTGAAGGCGGTATTTAAATGTCAACGGCGGTGGACAGTCGCTCGCTCGCTCGAGATCTACTCTCCATAAGGCCAGCGTCAGAAACACCCCGTCGCGTCAGTCCAAATGACCTCGGCAACTCCCCCTGAAGAGGTACTGCAACTGAACACGCCCACAGCAGAGGTGGTGGATAAGGACGCACCGCCAACCAGCATCCCAACCCCACCACCACCGCCCATCCACACCACCGCCGCCCAAGATGAGGACACCAACGCACCCATCTTCCCCCTCCTCAACCTCCCCCTCGACCTGTTCACCCTCATCTTCTCCTACCTCCCCTTCCACGACATCGTCAACCTCCGCTCAGTCTGCCACGCCTGGTCCCACACCCTCATCCCCATCCAGTACCACACCGTCCTCATCGACTCCCTCCACCGCTGCACCGCCTTCATCCGCATGGGCAAAAACCACCCGCAGAGACTCACCCACATCAAAGCAATGTCCATCCTGCAGTACGGCACCCGCTGGTTCTTTAATTCAGAGACCTTTCCCAATGACATGCTTGCCTTGTTGAAGCTGTGTGCGAATCTCGATAGCTTTGCGTATGATTCCATGTTGAGGGGCCCAAAGAGCTTGTCGATGGATACGGTGTTTAGTCCGATGTTTTTTATGGCGAATACCTGTGCGATCATCGGTGAGAGGATCGAGTATGTCCATTTTGGGAACGATTGGGAGTACAATAGGGTGAGTATCGCGAGCGAGCGATAGCGATAGCGAGCGCGGACCTACGCAAACGCCCTTCGCGAGCGAAAGGAACGATTCATGCCATGCAAACCTCACTAACCGCACCGCATTCCTCCCCCTCTTTCCACTTCTCAGCAAGTCCTCCCCTGGTTCAACATGATCTCGGAATCCGCACAAATAGCCCAAGTGCACAAATTCTTCTCACACCTCCCGAACCTGACACGCATGGCGACGCTCTTCCTGCAACCCGAAGACCGCACGCGGCTGACCGCAAAAACCTGGTCCGTCTGCCTACCCCCTACCTGCACCGCCGTCGCCCTGGGATACCCCGACCACCCGGGCGCCTACGACCCCTCGTTGGAATGCGTCCCCGATTTCGTCACTACCGTCCATGTGCGCGGGATCAGCTGGGCCCACGGCGCCGTGGCCGATCTGGCGCGCCCGGGCAGGGTCGTGAAGGTGTATTTGGTGGACGCGGAGCCGGAGCGGTGGCAGGCGCTTCTGGCGAGTTATGCCGCGACGTTGGGGAGGGCGAGGAAGGGCGCCGTGCTGCATGTCTATGGCGCCTGGGATACCTGCCATGAGGAGTTTGTGAAGGTGTCGCACGAGGCTGGCGGGTTTGAGACCGTGGAGATGGTGGGGAACCCGTATGGCCCCGACGAACCGTTTACGTTGCAGGGGGATTGGGCGTATTGAAGTTCGGGGAGTCGACCCGACTTGATCCATTTCTCGGACACATTTCTCACTACTGGCATCGGCCAGAACCCCCCAGCGCCGATTTCTCCCTAACCCTCTGTATATACTCCCCCGCGCCCCCAACGCATACCAGCAAACATACTGTATATCCCCCCACCAAAAAGGGTCAAGGGGGGCAGGTCCCCCCCCCCCCGCCCGGACATTTGTACTGTAAACTGCCACTGTAATTTTTACTTTTAATCTATATCAATCCGATGCTTCTTTTTCGAACCCCATCGGCGGTGGTGGTGGTACCGGCGAGCTCTCCCCCCTCCCCTCCCCTCCCCCCTCCCCGCCCGGATCATCGGACCCTTTCGATGAGCGCATGTGGATCCGCACGCCCTGCCGCGCAAAGAGCTTCGAGAGGGGTGTCGAGCCTAGTGTGTGAAACGGGGGGGGGGGTCCAGAACGAACGGTGAGAATTTGCAGCCACGCGTGGGGGAGGGGGGGAGAGAGTCGAGAACGAAGGGTTGGGGCCGGTCCAGCGCGTCCGAGGACCCAAAAGCGCGAGTTATGCGCGCCCTCCCTTTACAGAAACGTACCCATCATCCCCGGAAAAGCCTTTGGCGTAAACACCGTAAACACGTCCGTAAACACCGTCGCCTGCGCGGGCCGGCCGCCAGCCCCTTCCTCCCTCTCTTCCACCCGCGATACGGACTCGACGCTCGCTCGGTCTTGTGACGTCGTGCCGGTGGAGGGCCGTTGCGATGACGACGCGGTCGAGACGGGTCTGGATGCGCGGGCTGGGGTCGATGCGTCGGACGCGGCTGGGGCTGGTGTCGGGACGGTGGGCGGGTTGGTGCTGTTGAAGGGACGCAGGGGGGGTTAGTTGTTGACCAACAGAATAGGGGGGGGGGGGGGTTCTTGCTGATGAATAGTCGCAGGGGGGCGTGTGTGAACAAAGCCTCCCATCGAAGAAGCGGGGGAGAAAAGGGCACCTTCCTTACCCCCCAATAACCCGTCTCCCGACATCAAACAACCGAAACCGTAACCGAAACACACCCCCGGCCCTCACGCCGACGTCCGGGAACACGAAAAACAAGCCCTTTTTCCCGCTCTCGTCGCGCAGCACGTGGCAGCATGAGACGAGCGAGCCCATCAGGATCGGGCCGTGTTGCGAGCGCGAGGACGGGCCGCCGAGGGGTTTGCGTGGTGGTTTTTTGTGGGTGGGCGCGTGAGACGATGACCATGGACTGGCGTGTGCGACGGGGTGCGAGGATGAGGAGGTGGTTTGGAATGGGTTGGGATGCGTGTTGTGATGGTGCCCCCCATTCCCAAACACCTCACCCGCGTCCGACTCGTTATGCTGCTGCTGCCCCTCGTCGACCACGTCGTCCACGGTTCCCGCAATAGACTCCAACGACGCCGTCGACGCCAGCATATACAAGCTCGACGACGAGAACGAGGGCGCGGTTGATAATGGCGGGATCCCCCTCCTGTCCGCGGGCAGGCCGAGCGGTGATGTCAGCATGGTGTTGGTGAGGAGTTGTCCTGTCCCCTTTGTCATGTCGTTGGGTTGGTTTTCGGGGCGGGAAGAGGCGTCGCGCTGGAGGTAAGGCTCGCATGTGAATGTGTGGGGTAAGGCGGCTGGGGCCGGGTTCCGCGGATCGGTGGGGGCTGCTGCTGACGATGATGATGGACGTGTTGACCAGAACTGCGCCAAGTCGTATTGTCGTGCGCGGGTGTTGAGTTGAGCGGATGTGGGAGGTTCACCCTGGCTATCGCGTTTTTCAACCAGTTGATGGTGCTGATGATGATGATGCCGCTGCTGTTGCTGTTGTGAGCTCGACGCCGTGTGCTTGCCCGGCGCTTTGGAGCTGGAGCTACTGCCAGGCCTCGACGCTGCCGAACCGGCTTGCTGTAACCGCCCGCGAGGCGCGCTGGCCATCGTGCAGTCCGTGCTCAGGTCCCTGCGAAAGACGACACCAGCGTCAGCGTTCGCATTCCATTGCCTCTAGTCCTCTTGCAAGCTCATCTTGAAGAGTTGGACCACCCAAACCCGGACGGCGGGCTATGAACGTTTCCCATACTCTCCCTCTCGCTTTTGCATCATAATGGAGACGTATACATCTACACTCACGCTGTCCACAAGCACGCATGCACAATCATGTACGGCGTATCTGCCCAGCTGCCGCATCGTCACCCAAAAAGCAGTTATAGAAATCAGTCGGAGACAGGTTGCGTATGGCGAGCAGAAAGCAAAGCGAAAGGGGGAGAGAAACGAAGAGAAAAAAAGATAATCCAGACAATAAAACTCCCTAATGAGATTTCGTGCGCGTGACATACACAATTGTAACGGAAACGGGGAAAGGTTTGCTCTAATTTACTTACCAGGCTTCGACGACGTTGCCCTCTTCATCGCGCATCAACAGTTGGACACTAAAACCAAAAAAAGTGGCAATGAGATGAGTTCCCGTGGTAGACCGACCACCGCGTAGCCATGAACCAGGTGAGTCATTGCCTGCAATGGCAAGTACCACTGGTAGACCCATCCCACGGTGAATGTCGCCAACGACCATAATGCATAGCATGGATTTGCCAGGGGTCGGGGTTCCGAATGGCCGTGGTGCCAGGTCCGACGACACCAACGAAAAGAATACAAGGAAACTCACATGGGTGGTGGATCTATCGACCGCCTGCAGTTCGAAAACGAGAACCGGGAAGTGAAGTGGCGAGGTAAAGCGGGGAGGTAAGGGGATTTGGTGACGGGGGCCCGGGAAAGAGTGCAGGAAATCAAATGCCGTAGCGATGGTTCAGGTCGATGTTACCAGCGTTTGACAGGGACGGAGGCGCGGAGTCGGAGGCGGGAGGGGTCCAGGCGAACAAAGGAACGCAGGTGTTAAAAGAATAAAGTTGGTTGTGGTGTATCCGAAAGTTCATCAAAGTCGGAGCCGGCGGAGGGCGAAAAGGGCGAGAGCGGGTGTGGAAGAGGGCGAGACGCGTCAGTTTGCGGTCCAGACTCATTTAGGCCCACACATGGAAACACCCATCAACCGGGAGTGGACGACACACACGATAGACATACCGGTCTTTGTTACTGTACCCACTCATCCGCGCCCGCACCGGCTGCTGGCGGACAATCAGCTCGTACGTCGCTCTAGATGGTTGCGGTGCCGGCTCTGGCTCTTGTCTAGATGGCTCTGGAGTGGGTCTACAACAAGATGAAACATATGGTTGTGGTGAATATATGATGGGTGTGGCCGCTATGTATGCACAAAAGTAATCGAGAGAGGTAGGGAGTCCAAGTTGGAAGACAAAAGGCAGCAGGGTAGGCAGAGCCGCCCATCTGCCCGTTTTGGCCAAAACGACCTTTTTGCAGGGCTCCCAGGGTATATACCACTCCCTTACCTACTACCGCTGGTCTCGAAGTCGAAGGGTATCGTAGGTGGAAAGGTACGCATCGGATCTTCCACAAACGACGACGCAGCAGACGGCCGATTCGGGGCTAATTGCCAATTGCCCTGCAGCAACGCCGCATTAGGGTCGATGGGAAACAGTAGGCCCTGAGGATACTGCATTGAGGCAGCGCCGTAGAAAGGATACGGCATCGATCCGTGGGTGCCGCCGCTAGGTTGATGCGGAACCATTTCGCCGATTTGCTGAACCCACGGGAAGGTTGGATTTGGGTTGGGAAGTACCGGCGGCGGCGGCGGCATATCGAACGGTGGAGGCCACAGGTTGTAGAACGGGTAAGGGTCGAATCGCTGCAGAGCAGCTGGATCGAACGACTGCTGCAATGGTCTTGTGGGACAATGGCCATGGGCGTACATCTGGTGCGGATGGAATGGCACTCGGATTGGCATCAGCAAGGAGTCATCTGGGAACTCGTTCGTGGTGGTGTCCACGGCCGCGGCGTCGGTGGTGGTGGGTGGGTATCCTGCTGGATAGTCCATTATTCGAGTTTTGCGTCAAAGGTGTTCTGACTCCTTCTTTGACTCGTTTCCTTTGCATTCCTCCCCCGTATCACGGAGCTGACGAGGAATTGCACACTGGTACACCTCTCTCAGGGTTCCGTTTTCGAACCGAAAACCTTATCGACAGAGGATCGACTAGACGTAACGCTGCTCTTCGAGAGGGCACCGGCTGCTGTATGGTGATCCCGGCAGAGGAGGCTGTCGGTCTTCTTACGAGGGAGTGTGCCTTTCACTCTCACGGGAGAAAGGGAGTTGCCAGGGGCTCTGTGTCTTTCAACCAACGGCGCGTGTTTCTTCGCACTCTCGCAATAATGGCCCAGTGCCCGCGAAATGATCTGCCCTTTTCCGGCCCTGGGCTCAATGGGGGACGCAACAACCGCAGCCACCCGCTCACTCACTCACTCACCCCACCCACTGGCTGGCTGGATATTACCGTTGGGGATCTGGGAATATGGGGAAACGCACCACGCAAACAGAGCGCAAGTCGAACCGGTGTCTCTTCCTCCCGCGGGCGACAACAACGGTTTATTATTCGTTCGATGACGGGCGATGGAATGCGCAAGTGTGGCTCCGCTGTTTGCAACACACGTTTGGGAGGAACCCGCAGTGTTGGATTTCCATTCAATGGGCCCCCCGTTGCATGTGCTGGTCATAAGGGCGCCCCCACCTCATCTCGGAAGCTCGGAGGTTAAGAGATGGGGAATCGGGAATGGGGAATGTCGCCAACTCCCACAATTCGAACGTGACGGCCATGGGCTCAGACTTCATGAGGTTGCGCCAAACCCCTGGAACGAACTTCGTATTCGTGTGAGCCATGGATCTGAATGTGGGGGGAGAATGGGAGACAGGTGATTTGTCATTGGGGTGGAGAGGCAAACTGCAAACTTTTATGGATGAGAAGACATCGCCGTTACCAGGACACACTCTGGATCATTCTCGGGAAGGCATGGGAGACTCGCATTGATCGCAGATTATGAGTCGGGAGACATGGCCAACGCCAGGACATCGCACTCTGGGTTATAAAATAGAATACCGCAACAGCACGTATGAAAGGATCACGGAACACCGGGGAATGTATGTGGAATGCATGTCGAGACAATGGGACGATAAACTAGAAGTCTGCAATCAAATAGCGGGAGGTGGCGTGTCTAGCTGCACCGGAAGGGCCCGAAACGATAAAAGTACACATCGGCGGATATTGCGTTCAAGTTCGGGAATGGATTTTTCATCCGCGGGGCCATGACAGACCCAAAGAGCTCTCACTCCAGGTCGTTGACCAATTATGCAGCTACCCGTCGCAGCATTGACAGCTGGTCGCAAGGGTGGTGATGTTGTCCCGGGGTGCATTATGGGGTATGGGATATGCATTATGGATATCGCGGCGGCAACACTGGCATTGTTTATATCCCTCAGCTCGGCGTATAAGAGATCTCTTTCCTTTTCTTTTTCTCGCACGGGGCTCAGCCACACTTATCAAGGGTCAGGCTGGCTCCTGCAGAGGTAAACCAAAACCCAAACGCGTGAAGCCCTTGGAGGGGGAGGCAGTCCGAACGCGTGTGTCTTCAGGGTGTCTCATACAACCCGATTTCGACAGTGGGCGAAACAGTGACAGCTTCATTTTTACAACTCTTGTTGGGGGAAAACGTCTTATTCGGGATTAGTGGAAAAGGTCGCCGACATTTGAATCATCCACTTGATTTAACACCCTACATTCCGCCAAATGCATTTATAGGCGCTACTTTTGCGATCTATCCGAATCTCTGATGTTTCCTGAAGAGTTGTTGTCCTTTTCGGCCATCTGCAAGGTTTTGGGAGTTCGCATCAGCGGTTAGTGTCACCACCAATTATAAACCACATGGACACTCTGGACGAAGGAGACAGACATACCGCCTCAGTCCTCAAAATCGCCCTACTACTCGCCGCAGCCGCCGCCTGTTTCGCCGCACTCCACCTCGTCGCCGTATCATGATCCACCGGCACCGGCGGCTGCTGCATCGGGGGCTTGCCATGCGCGCCCACCACCAGCGGCGGCGGTTTCCCCTGGCTGGCATAGATCTTGGCCACTCTTTCCTCATAGACCCGGCGGATATTCACCGCCATGTCGTCAAAGTCCTCGACGATCTCGTCGAAATCGGACCCGTCGAGCTGGTACGCGACCACGTTGGTCTGTGCTTGAATGGTCGCGGTCCGTGCGGTTTGGGCGAGGAGAGCGACTTCGCCAAAGAATTGGCCCGAGTTGAGGGTGCCGACGACTTTTGTGTTGATGATGACGTCCACGGAGCCGGAGATGATGAAGAACATTTCATTTCCGACCTGTGTGGCGTGAGGGGGGGTTGCGTTTGGGATGAGGTGATGGGATATGCACAATACCGTCTACGAAACGTGCGATGTTTTCACATACCTTGCCCTGCTCAAAAATGATGTCCCCAGTCAGGTAATACACGGCTTTCAAAGCCGATGCAATCCGTCCCAAAAAGATCTCGTCCCGGCCATCATCCATCTTGCGCGACAAGAAGCTGACTTTGCCCACCAGCTCCCGACAGTTATTCACCAGAATCTCCTAACAAAACGCCCCAAAAAAGTCGTATTGAGCACTCTCAAGCATCCCCACCCAAAACTCATGCCACCACCCGCAAAACAAACCTGTCTCAAATTATCATTCAATTCTCCCAACAACTCCCGTTCCTTGAAATACTTCCCACGATACTTCAAATGGAAAAACTCATTCACCCTATCCCGCAGCGCAGGATCCACGTTCTTGTACTTCATGTACTCATTGACCTCCTCGATCTTGTGCTTGTACATGCGCCCCATGGGGTCCAGACTGCTCATCAGCGAGGAGATGGAACCCAGCACGGCGCCGTGCATCGCGGCGGAGATGATGGCGGAGAGCATGATGTTCCATTGTTCGTCGATGTTTTTGGGTCTGACAATCATAATGAAAAGGGGGGCAAAATGTAAGATTGGGCGAAACGGGGGAGAGAAAAAGCCGGTATTGCGGAATACGTACTTGAGCGCATGGGCATGGAACGCGGCCACAAAGAACCCAAACGTATACTGCTCCGGCACCGTCTTCTCCGCCACATACTCCACCTCATGCCACCCCTCAAAGTGATGCACCTTCCCCAACAACAACACCGTACACGAAAACACGTGGAAATACAGCGCCAGCCCACCCATATACACACACAGCGTCGAAAAACTCTCCCCAACGCCCAGAAACTTCTGACACCGCGTGCTCAGCCGCCGGAGCAAAGGGTTGCTCGAAAAGATGCGGAACAGTTGCGGGATGCGGAGGAGACGGAGCATGGTCATGCATTCGCCGTATTGGCCGCTGACCATGAAGTCCCAGGGGATGGTGGAGACGATGTCGGTGGCGTAGTGCAGGAATTTCCAGATGGGCGCGAGTTTGGCGACGCCGGTGCGGCCGTGGGAGGTGCGGTGGGAGATGAGGGCGTTGACGATTAGGTCGGCGACGAAGATGACGGTGAGGGCGATGCTGGCGTCGGCGAGGTGGTTGCCGTAATTTATGAAGGCGAGGACGAAGGGAATAAAGACGACTGCAAAGCTGGATGGGAAGAAGGGGGATACTCATCAGTTTCGAAGAAAGATACATGGTCGCATGGGGAAGTTGCGCAAATCGTACATCAGCACCACTAAAAGAAACAAGAGGAGTGGGTCAGCTTTTTCCCACATGCCTGGCGGTAGCCCCTTTTACTCAACCCGCTGCATGTCTGTCGCTCAACTTACAAGCCATAAGCACATCCCAAAGAGCCCTCGCTAAACACAGCGGATGCCAAAGCCAGCTCTTCCTCGGCGCCTCCAACGCCACCTTATACAAATCCAACATCTCCTTATACGGGTACGGAATCAAGAACTCGTTGTAGCGCGGGATCGTGCAGTAGTATGTCCACGTCGTCACTATGGCGCGCTTGGTGGAGGCCGCAATGGAGGAGACGATTGTTTCTTGCTCCTTTTTTGGGCGGAGGTGTTTGCGCGGGCGGTGCTTGATGGGGATGAAGGAGGGGTCGAGCGAGGGGTCGGGTTGGGTTACTTTCATTTCGCCGGCTTCTAGGTCTACTGTAGGGAGGAATCGGGTCCGTTGTGACAGATGATGATTGAGTTGAGATGTGTATTTAGACCAGTCGGTTCAGGAATGCCGTGTCTCAAGGCCTTGGAGGCTCGCCTTCCTTACCTATTTGAGGAGCAACATCCTCCTTAATCTCCCACTTCTTCGCCGGAACATGATGAATCACCGGCTGCTCCTCTTCCGCATACGGCTGCGACTTCCTCCTCGCGGTCAGCCCCACCTGCCACGGCTTCGCAATCACGCTGTGCGCAACCGGCTGCTGCTCGCCAGCCGTCATATTCTCATCATCAATATCCTCATCATCATTCGATTCGGCGATCGACTGTCGATCACTGATGCGGGGCAAACCGCCGTGACTCGTCCCGGCGCCAAACGAGCCCGTCCGCTCCCGGCCGCCAATATCATACCCAGGCAGATCGGACCCGCTCGTCGCCGCCGCCGCATCGTCCTTCCCACCGCTCTTGACTTTATTAATCACGTTCCGCAAACTGGTAACCGAGCTCGACAACAAATGCCGCTTAGTCATTGGCTTCAGCTGCCCGGACATTGACGTCTCCTGGCTGCTGCGTCGCCACAAGCCGCCGCCCTTGCCATGCTTATGCCCCGAATGTTCTTCCGGCTCGTTCAAGCTATTATGACTAAGAACCTTCTCGATCGCCTCGTCGGGGAGCGCGGGGAGCTCGTTCAGCAGATCCAGATGCTGCCGGCCCATAAACCCGGCCGACCCAGCCTCCGCCGACCCGGACAGGAAATTATTCAACAGCTGTTGTTGCGCGACGCCGGAGGGCGAAGACATCATGATCTGTCTCTGCGCGATCGACAGCCGGCGGGGTGTCGCTCGCCCTTTGGGCATCATCCCACCACCGTTGGCCATCCACTCCCCCGGCGGATACAACCCACCGCCCTGCTGCCCGCCATAGAACCCGATGGATGGAACCACGGGCGCGCTGAACGGGTCCTGCGACGGCCGGCGGACGTCGTACGAGAAGCTGTTGTTGCTGTCCCCGCCGCCGCCGCCGTTGGAGCGGAGTTGCTGCTCGACGGTGCCGACTGCGACGGTCAGTTGCGTTTGCAGCTGCTGGACTTGCAGCGTTAGGGCGCGCATCTGCACTAACGCATCTTGAAGCGTTTGCGGGACCGCGGGGGGTTGATGAGATGCCATGACTTTTGCGGCGGCTTCAGACTATCAACTACGTGAGGTATAATATCCCCCAAAATTGCGCTGGGTGCCTATCGATATCGTCCTATCCTACTCAAAGCAAGCAATCTGTTTCGACTATTCCCACGACAAGGATATTCACACTCGTTCCATTTCTCCACCCCCTCGCAACAAAGACCCTCCCCTTCTTATCTTCCCCGAACCCATATTGTGTATACACCGCCGTATAAGCTAATCACCTTTCAGGGGAGAAGAAAAGGCCGGTAAGGGTTCTGTTTGTGACAGTCCCCTGCATCCGCGTCCTGTAGGTTAGAGTTAAACCCAAATACTGTAACCTATTGTTGGGTGGGGTCGGACGGCCCCGTACGGACGCTGACTGCGACGTTGTATCTTGACATCACAGGGGGAACTCCTTGGGTTACCTGGTTGTTCGTGGCGGATGGGCGTGGCTACTTCCAGACAAGTTCCCAAAGAACGCGTCCAAAATGTTCCAACGTCCAATCCCCACAACCCACGCATATGTTCAAGTACAGTACGTATTCGAGGACGGGCAGGCACGCAGATGATACATATTGCAGAAAATATGGATCGATTGATATGGGAGGATGCCAAGTACATGAGATCGACGTGAGTGAAATGTTCATAAACGACCACATCCCCACGCTACGTAGTATCCGCTCCTCGATGTTCGTGGACGGATCGTCGTGTCCCCAGCAGGTCATTCGGAGGGATCCCAAGCACCACTCCCAAAGTACGCCGGAAAAAACGCAACCTTTCCTGACCCCCTCCCTACCTTTCCCGCCCCCGCTCCCTCTCCCTCTCCCTCTCTCTGCGTTCCTTCTTCTCCCCCCTCTCCCTCTCCCGATCGGCATCGCGATCCCTCTCCCTATCCCGGTCCTTATCGCGACGCGACGACGACTCCTTATCCTTATCCCTTTCACGATCCTTGTCACGGTCCCTATCGCGATCACGGTCGCGGTCTTTCTCTTTATCCTTCTCCGTCCTTGAGGACCGGGACGAGCGATGATGATGAGAGGACGAGTGACGACGGGACGAGGATTTCGATGATTTGCGGCGTTTGGAGGATGTGGATGCTTCCGCTGCGGTTGTTGTTGTTGTGGCACCGTTCTCTACGGCATCTGCGTCGGTGGTGTCATGGGCGGGTTTGGTGGTGTCGCCGTTGGTGTCTCCTGGGGCGGAGGTGAGATCTTCCAGTTTGGCAGCAGGGGAGCGCGGCCGTTTGCGCTTGCGGCTTGTAGCGTCGTCGTCGTCTTCGCGATGGACACTGGGGCTGCGATCGCCGCGGGAAGGAGGGGAAGGTGTGCGTCCGCCGCGTCTCTCGAGTTGCTCTGCAGCCATATCGATGGTGGCTCCCTCAGCTCGCTCACTAACTGCCGGATTGCCGAGAGGTGTGGTCGGGCGGCTCTTACTCCGCCTGCTTCCCCGATCCCTCTCCCTCTCTCGATCCCGACTTCTACTGCGTTGGCGCTCTCGGCTATTCCCTTGCGACCGGCCGGATCTGCTCCCACCGTCCCGATCACGGTCTCGGTCGCGGTCCCGGGTAGGCGTATCATCCACCCCGCGTTCCTTAACAAACACGGCAGCACCTCCACTGCTCCGTCGGTCTTTCTCCTTTTCCTTCTCCCTCTCGCGGTCCCGTTCGCGCCCTCCATCGCGCTCCCGCTCCCTATCTCTCACCCGGTCGCGATCGCGATCCCTTGACCGGTCTCTCCGCTCCTTCTCCCTGCTGCCATCCCGTTCTCGCACTCTCTCATCCCGATCGCGGTATCGGTCCGAATTATGACCGTAACCCGGCCGACTCGTCGCACTCCCACCGCGCCGTGCCGACCACTCATCGGCCGGTCCATCTCGATCTTCATGCCTGCCGGAAACACTCCCACCCGCAACGCTGCCGAGAGACCCTTGTCTGTCGACCGGGGACTTCACATCACCACCACGTGTAGCGGAATTAGAGCCGCCCGTACGACTATCACTCCCCGGCTCGGCTTTGATCCGAGATCGCTCGTCGTCTCGAGAATGTCCCATTTCAGTTGATGCGCGACGGTCGTGATGGAGGCTGCCGCGAGGGTCGTCGGCCGACTGATCGCCTCGGCCGCCGTCTCGGCCACCTCCTGGTCCTCGAGAATGGTTTGGCGGGAATGGTCTGCAAATAGAGTGCGGTAAGATATTCATCCCATGCATCTCATTGTAATCTTTCAAAAAGCACTTTACCTCGCAAAGCCTCGACCACTAGGCGCACCCCCACTTCGGGGCGGGTACATGCCACCGGCCTGGTAATCAAATCCAAAATCAGGTCCATGCCCGTCGAAAAACGGGCCGTCGGGTCCGAAAGGCGGGGCGTTGCGCCCATCGAAGAACGGTGGCGGTACAGGTGGAAAGCCAGAGTTCCCTCCACGCCCACCAACGCCAGGCCCACCGCGCATCCCCGCGGCATTGGGACCGGGTACAGGCGCTCCTCCTCCGCGGCCGAACCCAGAGCGGAAATCATCGGGGAAGGGTCCGGCACCCATCATTGGTCCGGAGGGGTAGAAGTCCGGGTTGTAGAACCCTGGCGCTGCTGGGCCCATGAAGCCGGCTGCTGCGGGTGCCCCCGGTCCAAAACCATGTTGCTGGAAAGTGCTTCGTCCGCGAGCAGCGTTGCTTCCGCGTCCAATAGACATGGTGCCCAGGGCGCCTGCCATTTCCGCGCCTGCTGCTCCCATGTTCAGTGGCAAGGTTGGCATCGAGGGTACGACGCCGGCCCCGGTGCCGATAGCAGGGCCTCGTTTGGCCTGTTCGGCCCGCGTTTCCTTCGGATCTTTGGGGAGGGTGCGGAAAGGATTTGATTGTTGACTTGGAGGCACGTACTTCACGATCGGCTTACGGCCGTGAATTTCGCTGAAAATACAGAAAACAAGCGAAGGTTATAAACACGGAGTATATTCAAACATCTTACACAATCATCATCATCCCCAGCAGGAATATACTGCCATCCAATAACTATGGAAAACAGCCACCAGACATACATGGTCTCAAAGAATTCCTTGGCCAGCGCAGTGGCTTCCTGGGTTTGGAATGGAATGTAGCAGATTCCCTTGGATTTGCCGTTGACGCGATGTTCCGAGAACGATAGCTCGTTGGCCAGCAGTTGCTCGGTGACACCGGCTTCGCTGATGGCGAGCTTGATGTCATCGTCGGTTGTCCACTGAAAAAAATGATGATTGAGGTCAGAACCACTGCTCAGCTTCAGAGGAGAGCGAAGACGACTATTGATGCTTACCCAGCTCAATTCGCTAACAAGCAATGCGCGGCTTCCTCCACCTGGCAAATTCTGCGGGGGGAGCGCCCCACTCGTATGCGTGGGAAAATCATGCTGTCTCGCGGGATCCGCCTTAGCTTCATGGCCTAGCCCTGGGATTCCAGAATCTTGCTCGTTCTGGACACTTGACTCTGGTTCGCTCTTGGCCATTGCCGGAGTGGCGCTGGATTCTGTCCTGGGGGGTACCGAATCCAACATCTCATCCTCCCCATAATCGATCTCATCTGAGTACGCTTTCGGAATCTCTACGTGGACCTCCATGTCCGCGGAGGTGCCCTCCGCCTTTACATTTTCATCAGGTTTAGCAGCCAGATCGCCGTAGAGCAAGTCATGTTCATCCTAGAAGGTTGGTAATGGTTATGAGCCCCAAGGATCCCTATTGTTCTGCAGAATGCGTGCAACGCCTACCCCGTCCAGTTCCGCGTAAATATCAAAATCGTCCGCCATTGCAGGTATGGTGCTTCAACGTTTGCAACTTGAAAGCGTTCAAATGAGAAGTAAGCATGAGGTAGACTGGCTGCACACGAGAGTATTTCGCCCGACTCCCAGGGTCCCGAAGGCCTTGACTGTGCCACGGACGACAACTTACATACGTTGGCCCTGCTCTAAGATTGTCGCTTACAGCGTTTCCTTGGTGCAGGCTGACGAGGCAAGTAGAGCCGAGGCGTCCGTAAGGGAATATAGAACCCTGGGAACTCTGCCTGTGCTCCCAAGATCCCCGTCGTGCGGAGGATCAGAGTGGTCGTCGTTTTTTGCCCCGGAGTTGACTGCTTTGCCGTTTGCCGGGCTGACCGACGTCAGTATGCACAGTATGGCCGGGGTGTGAGGGAGTTGAAGCTGCCCTGGATAGCGGACGAGGGTTCCCTTTCTGTTCCCTTTGCTTGTGTGTTGTGTTGGGATCTCGTTGGGATCCCTGAGTTGGGAGAACGAAGGAAAAACGAAGGACGAGAAGCAGACGCGGCTTTTTGCCCCCTGGGAGCTCTTTTCTCGCCCAGGAGCAGCATCCAGGCAAGATCACAGCCTGTAGAATGCTGTAGAATGCACTACGTATCAGCCGCATGGTCCTCGCAATAGCCCTCCCGCCACCGCTCAAGGCCCTCTCCCTCTCCACAGCCGTCGCAACCTGCACGGCCCTCACCGTCCTCTTCTTCGGCTCGTTTTACCTGCTCCCAAAGAATGACCCCTCCCGCACAACCCCCCCGTCCCGCAACGATCCCGCCGTCGTACGCGCCCGCTTCATAAGCGTCGGGCTGTCATGTGTGCTATCGTTGGGCGGTGTCGCCTTTCTGCTTCATGGCGGTGACTCTACCAAGGTATGCGCTTCTTGTCTGGTCAGATGGGCGTGAAGTGAAAGTATGGCGCTCAATAAATCAAAGTCCTTCTGGCCCTATGTAGGCATAAACGGGACAACGGCCCTGTCATCAATCACACTAGGCCTAGTTCTCACGGCAACGCTTTTCGCCGGTCCTCTGTATGTGGCGCATCTCGAAGGCGAGCTGCCATTTCAGGGAAACGCGAGCCAGTTGCGGTTAGAGGCTGGCGATATTCTCAGTTGGCGGAACTACGTCGTCGTAAGTGTAGAATTGTCAATTGGGAGAGTCGCATTCAGGAGCGGAGGGAGCTTATGTTGAAATATGGAATCTTGCTACCTCATTGTAGGGCCCGATTTCGGAAGAGGTTGTGTTTAGGGGCTGCATGGTACCTCTCTTCTTGGCATCCGGGGTCACGCCCACACAATGCATCTTCATTCTTCCCCTGTTCTTTGGCATTGGTAAGCTTGAATGCCGCAACACAAGTCGCTTCCGACTTTGTTCAATTTCACTCTGACCTGACTATCCGCCCCACACAGCCCACGCGCACCACGGCTACGAGCTCTACCACCGCCTCCGCACCACCCTCGTCCCCGCCCGCGCCCTCACCCACGTCCTGCTCGCCTTCGCCTTCCAGTTCTCCTACACCAGCCTCTTTGGATGGTTCGCGACGTTTCTGCTCCTTCGCACGGGAAATATCATGGCCCCCATCGTCGCACATGTGTTCTGCAATAGGATGGGCGTGCCGGATTTGCCCGGGGCGGCGGCAGCGGGGTTTCCGGGGCGTAAGAAAGGTGGGTCCAAGGGCGTCTGGGTATTGGGACCCGTCTCTCTCGTACCGGTCTTTTGACTTCCACCTCTGTTCATATCCTCTACCAGCAATCTTTGCAGCATACATAGCAGGTATGCTCGGATTCAGTTTCCTGATGTTTCCTGCAACCGATCCGACCCTTTTTGGCGGTGCGGCCTCCCTCTACCGCAGCGTCTGACTGCGGCACTAAGCGTGGGAGCTTGGCAGATCCGTTCGACCGACTGTGCGTGACGGGTGTGAATCAGTGATACATGTACATAGGCTTAGGGTGGGCACATTATTTTTGGGTGGCGGTATATGATTTCGAGACAAGGTAGAAGCTCTTCTCTATAGTCCATATGTACATACTCAGCATCAAACAGCAAAGCAACGTCTTCGGTTCTATATGCCGCTGTCAAAGGCTCTTGTATAGACAATGTGACGTAAGGTAGACATTATTGATGAAAGGGAAGGCTATATACAAACTGTCACGTCCTGATATACTACAATTACGACTAGGACTTTCGGTCCCTTCCGTGATTGCGAAATCACGATAGGACAAGTGACTGCGGTGTCATGCAGCAGACGTCTGACGCACGAAACGTGGGTATGTCAATCAGATCGATGAGGGATCTCACCCTTAGTAGGCGGGGTGGTAGGTACTTCGACCGTTTGGCGAGACCAAGTACTGAATGGATCCCGGGAATGATGCGGGGATGGCTTTTCGGATGGCCATCGAGTGATGGAAAATGTTCGGTGGTGCCGGGCCAGTGAGTCAGTCCTACGCCGTTCGGAAGGAGAGTTGCATTGCTGCTCTGCAAGTAGCGGATACTTGCTGGTGGTGTGCGGTGGATCGGATCGGTGATGAAGAGGGTGTATCTCAGTGGTGGCAAGGTGATCGTCGTCGCAATGTTGCCCAGCTTTCCGATTCTCCTAGTCAACTAGATCCGTCGAAGCACTCCAGCTGAGGAACACCCCAATCGAGGCGCGCCACACAGTCCTCCCTGCTCTAAATCCCCTCAACCAACACCACCCCCTCCTCCTTCACCTCCCCCTTCACATCCACCAACAACCCCCCCACATCCGGCAACTCACACACGACCTTCTCCATCACATCCTTCGCCTTGACCACCTGCTCAACAACAGCTTTGGCGGCCTCGATGTCGCTCTTCATGGCGCGGATGAGCTTATTGGATGATTTGAGGAGGTCGCCGAGTTGGAGGCATTTGGATTCGAGATAAGCGTTGCGGGATTTGAGGGTGGCGTTAAGTTGGGTGGCGAGGGAGAGGGGCGTGGAGACAGTGGGAGATGGGGGGTTGAGGCCAAGTGATGGGGGTTTGTTGGTGGGGATTTCGAAGGCGTGGGATTGGTGGGTGATGTCGAGTAATGTGGGTGCGACTGTATCTGATAGCGCGGCAGGGGGTTCGGTCGATATCCCCAACACGGATGAGACCTTCCCACCAGCGGCCGATCCATCTTCTGCCCATTCCCCAGCTCCAACCTCCTCGTCCTGCTCCCGCTCCCGCTTCACCTCGACATCCACGTCCAGAGCCAAGTCGTGCCCAAAGTCAGGCGTTTGATCGACGTCTGTGACATCTACCGGGCCTCCAGCCTTTTGCGTCGGCTTATCTCCAGGTGCTACCCGCGGTGATTCGCCCTTCCTAGCCCGCTTCGGGTCTCTTTCGATTATGTCCTCTCTATCTCGCTTGCCGTTAGTTCTCGAGAGCTCTCTTTGCCGCTGACGATCTGGGTGTAGACACGCTGACGTTAGATCCGTCGTCACGACACAGTTCTTTACGAGATAGGTTGAACGCACCATACGGCTGAATAACCTTGTCTCTTGGCAGGGTAAATGCTTGCCCGCCCTCACTGGACACGGAGTTGAAGGTGTGTATCGCCAGTTGCGTGCTTCCGCTTGAGTCCATGTTCGTTTCCGCCTCGTGGCTCACGTATCTGCCCTTTGGTGACTGCGTAGGAATCGTCGGAGTCCCGGGCCTGTACCACCCACTGATAACTTGCTGGGCGACTGTCCCCGTAGCCTGTTGCCGTATAGGCGTTGGTGTGTTGGTTGTAAGTTTAGGGCTTTTAGGGGTGGTGTGTCGCGCTTCTTGACCTCCGTGCCATTCCTCCAACCTGGCTCCTCTCCACGATTACTGTCAGGCGGTGGGGCTGCGGTACATACGCTGAGCCCCAAGCTGCTGCTGCTCCATTTTGACGTTGACCCAAATCGTTGATGTCGCTCCAGAGGGCTTCGTTTCGAAGTCAAACGGTCACATGCCCGCATGCACCCAACTCCATTGCAACTCAATCAACTATTTTTGTATTACAAAAAAGAACTGATCAAAACATCGACGGGGATTTAGATCAGTGGCAGATCGTCTGCTTTGCATGCAGAAGGCCAGCGGTTCAATCCCGCTAATCTCCAGTAACCACGCGTAAGAATTTTTCTCCTTTTTATGTTCGCCGTTCCCAAAAGTTCTTTCTTGCTTTTGCTTTCCATCCTTCACCACAAAAAAACCCCTCCGTGCAGTGCAACTCTTTTCTTCGCGCTGGCTCTATGGTCTTAGCCTCGCAGCCAACTAAGAGCTCTCACCTTTGATAACTCTCAACTGCCAAACTTTTTGCAGGCCAACTGGGGTATGGGCGAGGCCAGACTGATTGTTCCTGACGTCTGATGAGAGGCGTTCTGCCGTCGCCGTCGCCGTCGCCATCGCCAATCTCAGCCAAGAACGGCGAGCTCAAGGTTGGTAAATTTTGGTCCCGAGCGGAGCGTGTTGTTGTTGTAGTAGGTTAGTTGCCCAAATAGTCGTGCACATGGGTGTCGTTTTAGTCAAAAAAGGATGTCGTTCTAGCAACTCCCTATAGATGAACGCGTGAGTCACCGCATCTCTCTCCATCCATCACCCTTCGCATCTCTCTCCCTTCGCGTCTGCACTAGATCCAGCTGGACCTGCCATGCATAACCGCAATGGACAGCCTCCACAGCCCTCGACACTCAAACTCACACCAGGTGAACTCAAGCCAGCAACCGGACGCTGTTTAGACTGTGGTGGCCTCTACTCCCCCCGGACTATCGTATTTCCTACGTTAACTCACCGTCAGCCTTCGTTTGACGTCCGTGCTGAGCATCTTGGACAATTTCCCCACGGCCTATACTGCATTCTGTAACGATATTTAGACAATGGCTTTGACGTCCGCTTTCCGGCACAGGAGCCTGCAACGGGCGGTTCGGTGCGGAAAGGTGAGTAAATGGAGTTTCTCGTGGCACGATCTTCGGTCATCGTCCCTACACCGCATTCACTGACTTGGCCTCCACCCACTTTCCCAGAGCTCAATTTCCTCGTCACTCGTCCACACACAATATGGCAAAAGACTCCTGGCTTCCGTAGCACCTACGCAAGATGGCGCCTCCACCCAGCACGACCCCCGACTTCCATCTTATTCAAGTCTTCTGAGCAACCTACAAAGCGTACGACAACGTCTGAACCTAACCAAGCCTTTGACGCTCTCAGAAAAGATTCTATACGGCCACCTAAACCAAAGCGATGCGGAAAAGAGCGACCCAATAGTCAGAGGCAGCTCCTACCTCAAGCTCTCGCCCGACCGCGTAGCGATGCAAGACGCTAGCGCGCAAATGGCCTTACTCCAGTTCATGCTAGCCAAACGCGCAACAACCGCCGTACCATCAAGCATCCACTGCGACCACCTCATCGAGGCCTTCCAAGGCGGCGACGAGGACGTCAAGCGGTCCATCATCACCAACAAGGAGATCTTTGACTTTTTGAAGTCTGCGGCGGAAAAGTATGGGATTGCGTTTTGGGGGCCTGGGAGTGGGATTATTCATCAGATCGTTTTGGAGAATTATGCGGCGCCGGGGATTCTGATGCTGGGGACGGATTCTCATACCCCGAACGCTGGTGGATTGGGATGTCTGGCTATCGGAGTGGGTGGTGCCGACGCTGTGGATGCGATGGCGGGCATTCCATGGGAATTGAAGGCGCCGAAGATCATGGGGGTCCGATTGACGGGGAAACTTGACGGCTGGACGGCTCCCAAAGACGTGATCTTGCAGCTTGCGGGACTGCTGACCGTGCAAGGCGCGACAAACCATATCATTGAGTACTTTGGCCCGGGGACCGAGACGCTCAGCTGCACGGGAATGGCGACCATTTGCAATATGGGGGCTGAAGTTGGGGCTACCACCTCTACTTTCCCGTATTCGCGTTCGATGGCTGACTATCTGCGTGCCACTGGACGGCCGCATGTGGCGGATGCGGCGGCTAAGGCGGCGGCAGCGGGGTTCCTGAAGGCGGATGCCGGTGCGGAGTATGATCGTGTGATTGAGATTGATCTTTCGAAGCTGGAGCCTCACATCAACGGTCCTTTCACACCTGGTATGTGCCAACAAGCCGCACATGTACTCACACCTCGACGATCGTACTAATGCACAGTTCCTCTGATGTACAGATGCAGCGACACCCATCTCACAGTTCAAATCCCTCGTCGTTCAACAAGGATGGAAAGACGAGATCAAAGTTGGGCTGATAGGTTCTTGCACAAACAGTTCTTACGAAGACATGCAGAGAGCGGCAGAAGTAGCCCGACAGGCTCTTGCGAGCGGCGTCAAGAATAGCAAGTCGGCTCTGCTTATTACTCCTGGATCAGAGCAAATCCGAGCGACGATCGAGAGGGATGGCGTTGACAAGACGTTGACGGAAGTCGGTGGGCAGGTTCTTGCGAACGCTTGCGGGCCGTGTATCGGGCAGTGGAAGAGGACGGACGCAAAGTCAACTGACGGGGGGGTGCAGACGGCGACCTCCGGCAAAGATGGCAAAAGGGAAGCCAATGCCATCCTAACGTCGTTCAACCGCAACTTCCGATCCCGCAACGACGGTAACCCAAACACCATGAACTTCATCGCCTCCCCCGAGATCGTCACAGCCATGGCCATCGCAGGCCGCCTCTCCTTCAACCCCCTCACCGACTCTTTGCCAACACCCGCCGGCACCTCCTTCAAATTCGCACCCCCATCCAATACCGACATCCACCCCTTACCACCCTTGGGTTTCGCCCCCGGCCGCGCCGAATACTCCCCACCTCCGCTCCAAATCCGCGCCGACCCAGCAACCCAAATCTCCATCGACTCAACCTCCACCCGCCTGCAGATCCTCGAACCCTTCGCACCCTGGGACGGCAAGGATCTACAAGACCTCCGCGTCCTCGTCAAAGTCGTCGGGAAATGCACAACGGACCATATCAGCGCAGCCGGTGCGTGGCTCAAATACAAGGGCCATCTCGATAACATCGCCAATAACACCTTGATCGGGGCCACCAACGCCGTCGCCTTCCCCACGGATCCCACTAAATCCACAGTCAATTTAGCGTATAATACTTTGACAAAAACCCACGACACGATCCCCGCCGTCGCGCGCGCCTATAAACAATCCCAAATCCCCTGGTGCATCATCGCCGACTCGAACTACGGCGAAGGCTCCGCCCGCGAACACGCCGCCCTCCAACCGCGCTATCTCGGGTGCACGCTCATCATCGCGCGCAGCTTTGCGCGGATCCACGAGACCAATCTCAAGAAACAGGGAGTTATACCTTTAGTCTTCAAGAACCCCGCTGACTACGACAAGATAGCGCCGGCAGCTTTGGGGCCGTGTGAGGTTAGGGTGAGGACGAGGGGGTTGGACAGTTTGGCGAAGGGAGATGTGGACGCACCGGTGGAGATTGGGGTTAGGCATAGAAAGGTGGGGGAGGAGACGTGGGGGAAGGAGGTTTGGGTGGCGGTTGGGCATAGCTTTAGTGGGGGGCAGGTTAGGTGGGTTGGGGCGGGAAGTGCGTTGAATTTGATTGCACAGGGGCAGTAGAGGATTGTGCACATAGTTCCGTAGCTACACTTCTTCCTTGTCATATATTTATCCTTGTACATGCCAAATGATCATCTCGGAAAGGGCGCTCGAAAGTCCGGAGTGATTTGGAACGCACTTCTGGAAGGGGTTGTTTGCTCGTGGGTGCCCCTGACAGCGCCTCGCTTACATATGTACAAGATTGACAGGGGACATAAGGGGGCTTCTTCCCCTCTTCTTTCCCCCCTCGTCCCCCGTGGCTATCCACTATCCACTCCACCAATAGACTTTCTTACAAGATCGGCTTCCCGTCCTTCTGCATCCACTTGCCCCCACAACCTCCACCCCACCCCACAATCTTCACCACTCGTCAACGCGCAAGTTTGGACAACGCACCTCCCCCCCACCCCCACCCAAGGCCGACCTCGCCGCAGTCCAAGCTGGAATCCAGGCAGCCATCGAGCAAATCCAAGCAGGTCCCTACCCCTAATCCAAGCAGTAGGGCGGCTCCAAGTAAAGTATATACTGTCTATACCGTTCAGGCGCCGCTGATTGCCTCAAAGTTGCTTCGGGCGAGGGATGCTGGGAAGCGAGACGTGGCTGGGGGTGATCGAGCCTCACGGAAAATCCGGAACCACCTCTCGTTCTCCCACCAATGCCAGAGGGAGGGTCATGGACGTGATTGGACGACATGGTGGTATATCCTTTCAGCTTCCAGGGAGAGTACCTGTTTCGGGTGCGAGAAGGACAGGCGGACGTACGAGTACGGGAAAGGGTATCACGGACTGGATTGAAGTCAGACGGGTCGTGTGTGTCCTGGTCGATGTTCTCAACGACGCGGACGGGGAACAAGGCGTTCCGATTTTAGGAAATGGAAGATGCATCGGTGTGGATGGAAGCCCCTACTGGAAGCCGGAAAAGCGAATCTGGTTTCCACGCCCGACGTGGGGCCACACGAGACGTTGCGTTTGACTTCTCGAGGCAAAAGCATCGTGTTGTTCAACCTGACGGTGGTTTGGCACACACACGCCGGGTGACGACAAAAATCACAACGGCAGGAAAGCGAATTGAGCACCGCAGCCTCTTTGAATGCCACCCGCCTCGCCCAAAGCTATGTCGCTCCCTGTTATGCGGCCTTTCGGAGCTGGCGACTATCCAGCTAACTGTCGCTTGCCGGGATAACGTTTCTGTGGTTCTGAAAAGGAGCCGCGTGTTCGACCTCCTGTGGAGCGAAGACAGGATGGAGCTGGCGAGCGGAGTAAGAATCTCACGCGACTGTCGGGTGAAGCTGTCGAATGAACCGTGCGCATACGACTCTCAATGAGCGCACCGGCTTCATCTGGGTAGTGGGGTCGGGAGGTGCCGGCGGCGGGTCCGTAAATGAAGACAATTGGCAGGATAAAGGTCGAGACAAGGAAGAAAGAACCGCCATCCAACAGGTCGAGGAGCGGGAAACCCGGGCCGCTGTTCGTCGCCGCCGCCAGCGCCAGTGCGAGACTACCGCCGCCGCCGCTTTCGTCGGTCCCACCCTCGCTGCCTCCACCACCACGACCACCACCACCAACAACGGTGCCGCTGCCGCTGCCGAGGCCACCTCCGTAGCCGCACATCCCCCCGCCGTCTACGCCCCCGACCTCTCCACCATTCCAGGCATTGACGCCTATCTCCGCACCTCCCTCCCATGGGTCCTAGGCTCCCCCCCCCCCCCCCCCCCCCCCTCGCGAAAAGTACAACACCTTTGCGCCCCCCCCCCCCCCCCCCCCCCGGACGAGGAGCCCACCATCGAAACCGAGGGCAGCGGCGACAGTATTATCAGCGTGTCCGTCAATTTGCAAAGTATGCGACGTTTGAAGAGTTTCCAACCAAAGAAGAGTTTGCGCGCCTCACACGACTTGAGCGGACCGTCCTCGACGAGTTATGGGCTCTGTCTGCTTCCTCTCCAGGATGAACCGCTTGCGTACAGCCTTGCGGTGGACGCAATGCCATATTTAGGTGAGTTATGTCCTGTATATTTATCCCCCCCCCCCCCCCCCCCCCCCCGGCGGCTTCCTCTTTTGTCTAATCATGGTCCGCACCTGCCTCATCACAGGTGCCTATTGTGAGCTCTCACGCCTCTATGAGCGCCGTGGAATGCGGCTGTTTTCGGCTATCCCGCTGCGCAATCTCGAATCCAGTCATCTGTTCGGATCGACACGAGGATCCTAGGCACTCATATCCTGGGCTTGAGCCAAAGTCGCATGGAGAAATTCACCAATGAACGCAAGCAGGAGCTGTGGGGGCAGTTTCTCAATGTGAATGTAAGTCTGTATCGTTTTGCGCTTATTTCAATCACCTCGCTGAATGACGGATTGTAGGACAAGGTCTTCAAGCGTCGAAAGAAGCTTGGTCTCAAGTTTGATGGATCAATCTCCACCATTGCTGGCATTGACGCCTATCTCCGCACCCTCCCGCCCGTGGGTCCACCGCTCCCCGCCGGCGAAAAGTACAATCCCCTTGCGGCCCTGCTGCATCCCCTCCCGGACGAGGAGCCCACCATCGAGCTGGGCAAGGTGTGGTGTTGCCGCTGCCGAGGCCACCTCTGCGGCCGCACATACCCCCGCCATCTCCGCCCCTGACCTCTCCACCATTGCAGGCATTGACGCCTATCTCCGCACCCTCCCCCCATGGGTCCTACGCTCTCCCCCGGCGAAATGTACAATGCCCTTGCGGCCCTGCTGCATCCCCTTCCCGACGAGGAGCCCACCATCGAGCTGGGCAAGGTGTGGTGTTGCCCTAGGCGGAGGCTGCAGTGAAAGCCAAGAAGGACGCCGAGCAACGTTGCTCAACTGCTCGCAGACCTTATCACGAACAACGCGGCGGACTTGGCGGAGATCGCAGACGCACGGAACGGGGCTGCTGCTATGGCGTGGTGGTCTCAAAAGTGACAAGAACCTGGCACAGTTCTGTCATTGGTAGAATGGCGGCCATCCTGAAACCTGAAGTATACCAGGAGACCAGTATCTCCAGTGCATGTCACCGCTAGCGTTAGCAGCCACATTCTCAACGGCTGGGAAAGGTTGGAAGATGTACTGCTCGACATCAGGCGCCTTGGGTACGAATCATGGATAGAGGAGCTCCATGGATAGAGAGCGCGCTTCCTACGTGCTAACTCGAAGTTGGAGGAATGGTACAGCAGTCAAATTGGTCAACGTGAAATCAATGGCTTGAAAGTGAGTTGATTGCGTCCGAACAGCAGAACAATGAGCCAGTCGTGCAAAATTCCTTAGAAAGACCCCTGATTGCGGAAAGGCCAGCCGAATCTTGGACTGGCTTCGATTGGGCTGACAATGTGGGCCTGGACCCACCCACGAGCACCGCCCCAGCATGGCTAGCCCTTCCCGCCGCAGCGCCAGCATCGCAGTAGCTACCAGGGCAGTGGAGACAATCTGGAAAGTTGCGGCCGTCCATTCGCAGCCGTGGAGGCACTCACCGGGGGAAAAGAACCACTGAGAGTGCCAACTGGTACCTCCTTTCGACTCCACGGCCAGATGCTCTGGATGAGCGGGAGCAGGTACTTGGCGAACACGCCGCAAATATGGGATGTTGGGAGGAGAGCTCTGTGCGTCGGTACAGCTGGCTATCCTGACTGAGCGGCAGGGATCATCCAGATCGCATTCAAATGAGGAGGGACCGCTAGATCGTGAACAAAGCTCCTTTGGGAATCATCTACTCTGCCGCGGGAAAGTATGTTAGCGCAGGTTGGGAAACGGTGCTACTACAAGCAGAAGCGGACGTCAAAGCGGAGGAATCCGTCGTCAAAGCCACACGCCTCCTCCTCAACGGAAAGCCGGAATTGCGGGGAGACGAGGGACTCCTCGCTCGGCTTGGCGTCGCTCGGCCGCCAGGCTTCTCATTGCTAGAAAATTGAACGAGTGCTGGGAATGTCCCTGCGCAGCCCATGGATGAAATATTGTGGGGCTTTGGGCTCTGAAGAACACCACGCGAATCCGTACAGCGATTCTCCGAATTCCGGAATTTGTGGCCCCGGCCTTGCGAAGTCCGAGAGACATTCTGGAACAAAGCACCGGTGAAAGCTTGCGCGACGGGCAGAAGTTCCGGGCTGGATAGAAACCCGGGGATGGTGGCCGCCGGAAACCCCATCTTTGGAGGAATACTGTTGAAGATTATCTATCTGGCCTGCGAGCGGAATAATACCTGCAGAGTATTGCCGTTAGTTTCTGCCACACATACCGCACAAACCAACGACGCGGAGCCGCAGATCCACGGATGCGAAGGTTATTTTCGGTTCACAGTATTAGGGTGGCATCCAACCTGTCGAGATTGACGTGCCATAGATATCGACGCCGGACATTATGGTCGGACGGGCGTTGCGGGAAGCAAGCTCTGATAGCAACGGATCAGACATTAAGTAGTTGCGGTTCCTCACACGCTCAGTTCAGCACGCTTACTGAATGAAAGTATGCTTCCTGGACATACGTAGGACGCGGGCACTACGACGGAGGCAGAGCATTCAACCCTGTGGCATGGCTTGATGATGGCTCACCGCAGTGCACCAGCCGCATCGCACCCGCGATTCGTGAACGAGAGACTCGTCGGAGTCTCCGTTCGTATAGCCATCAACCCGCAAAGACGTTTCGCGGCTGGATGCTGCGAGGCCAGGTTTGTTTCCTTTGCCACACCCAACTTCGGATGGCTTTTCCCTTCTGAACGCCGTGCGACCAACTGAATCAGCGGATATGGGACGAACGTACAGGATGGATGCACAATGAGTTGGTCTTGCAGGGACATTCGCGTGAGGCAGTTGGCATGGCTTGCAGCACCGGGCATGGGTACCAAACTCACGGTGTTGCAAGCCGTGTCATCTGCGCTAAGGGGAGATACGGGCTGGAAAGCCTTGATGGTCGCTGTTATGGAGGGGAGCGCTGGATTTCCGCGGGTGCCTTTCCCACGACCACCGACCTGCCCGCGGGAGTTGATACATGTGAGTGGGTTTGGGCGGAAGCGGAGTAGTAGGCCCAGGAAGCGGGGCCGGATGTGGCGGCCTTTCTGTTGGAACTCGTCAAGTTGGAGGTTTCAACTCCGAGGATACCTTCGAACTCTCAGACCCCTGTCGCGTGGCGGATCGATAGCCGGATTGTCAGTAATATCGTGCAGGCTATGACGGCCGTTTCTACAACTCGGAGAGAGGATCCATGCACCGCAATTACACACAACCTGGTGCCGCATCTATCGCATGTTCTGTCCTTGATCCGGAGGCAATGGCGAAGGCCTCGGAGGCAGCCAAAAATTAGAGAGAGGAACAAGGAAAGAGAGGAGAAGCTGTCGTGCCTGCAACCGGGTGATCCGGAGCGTGATGTCCTCCGCCCCATCAGCACCAACGAGGATCTCCACGAGAATACGAACGCTTCGATGAGTTTCTTTTCGCTGAAAACCAGATCACTACGACGGTTGATGTTTCGTTTCGGGTCATTCCCTGGCGCAATCAAGCAGTTCTTGATTTCGTTGGTCGAGTCGAGTCCCTGGAAAGTTTAGCGGATTTGCCAAAAATCTCTGCCGAGGCCGCTCTATTGTATCCTTCAGTTAACCATAGTCTGTCCGCAGATGGGTGTTACCACCCGAAAGCAGGCAGCTGTAGCCGAGGATGCGTTTACAACTTTACACCCAAACGGCTCAAGCAGTGCGAGAAAGACGATTTTTGGGGATTGTCTCGTCAGGTTTGAAGTCATTTCTTCGCGTTACGTCAGCGGTAACGCGTTGCGCGTTCTTCCCTTCTGAAAGAAGATCAGGACACCATAGTAGGCGCAGAAACGCCCGCAGATTCACGCCTTTTCCTCACTCCACAGGAGCCCTTGGGCATTGCGAGATTGCCAAGTCCCAAACTGACTCCGAACTGACTCCCAACAGCACGGGGAGACCTCCCTAGCCATCACACGCCCCTCTTGAGTGTGCCTAATGGCCTCTCTGGGCTGGACTAGACGTGGTACACAACCATCAACACCTTCCAGGGTGACGTCTGCACCAGCCAATCCAGTTAATTCCCACCACCTCCTCTATCCTCCACCACTCATCTAGATTCAGCAACACCGCCAACCCTGCCACAGGTGAACACCTGTTCCCTCCTGTTCCCTCTCGCCCTCGGGGGAAGCCCTTGACCGTAGAGGAAAATAATATGGTTGTCTGAATGGCGAGATTCCTTTACCTTCATGCAGAAGACATGGGGGATGAATAGCAGAACTTTTACAATAGGCAACATTTTGCAATGCTTTCTTTTTTACTGAATAGACAGATTGTTGGAACCGGACTTGACACTCTTACTTTGTTATGATTGTCTGGCTGGTTGACAAAAAGAACCTTGTAGAAAAAGAAGTCGGCGCTGGAAAATGCCGTCAACCAGTTTCTTGGCTCCTATGTCCACGCCCGTCCAGTCGCGCTAACTATGCTGTCTCGATCTATAATACGCGTGATGGGAGTGGGGAACTACTTGGACGCAGTGCTGTTCGCATTGCTTGGAGATATCTAGGGGCAACAAGGCACGAGGCGTCAATCCGGTCCTTGGTATGAAGCGCAACTGACACTGGTCGGGTCAGAAGGGGACCAGCACATGAGCGGCTTCGAGGTCTGATGGGCTAAACGAATAACAGAATAGCATCGGAAAACAAGTTGGAACTCAACGGACGGGTTTGATCACGGATCCTGAGCATCATCATATGAGTTTGAGAACGGAAAATGCCAACCTGTTATGTGCGGTTGCCCGATTCGCAGCTTTGACGGAGCACTGCACGGAAGTAAAGACTCCGTCAGTCTTAGGAGGATGCCGTCGTCAGTTCCGAGTATAAGGAGAGCAGGTGTCCAGAGAGCCCTTTGAGTCTCCAATTATACTACATTTACAACAACAACTCGTCCTCGAAATGTACACGGACTCCAAGTCACTACCGACATTACACGCTCTGCGTCGTGCCCCTCGCCGCCTCGTTCGCTTCGGTCATTGAAGTCGGAGATCGGCGAAATAGACAAAGAGGTGCCGCCTTCCTGGAAGGCAAAGAAGCAACGCTGGGGGTCACTATCCGGTTCCACCGTCTCCAATCTCAAGATTCCTGCCGGCGGCTGTGCCAATTTCTCAGAACACGGGTCCGGACGGGATAGCATCTGCCATCGTCAACCGTGGAGGGATCGAAAGGATGAAGAGAAAGATAAAAAAGAAGTAAATAAGCTTATTCAATCAATGAGACGTGGAAACTCCCAATAACGCATCCTAAATCAGGGATTATTTTGGTAGCACATCTCGAATGGTGGTAGGTTGCGAGATTTTTAGAGAAATAAGCTATAGATAAGCGTTTCATAAGGAAAAGAAAATATGAAAGACGCTCTCTTGAGTTTGAGTAAATTGTGGGCCTCATTCCTTGACAACGAGAAGGCAAGAATAGGTCGGAGATAAGTTGTGCGTAACGAAGAGGCTCTTCATTTTGGAAATCAACGGTAGCTCGATACCTCAGATAGTGCTTTGGTGGAGCGGCCACGCCCTCACACCACCCACCTATTCCGAGTTTAGACATACTATCCTCAGAGATCCCATCATAGACAAATGGTACTGCTGCATTCACTTGCGCTGCTGCAAACACCATATAAGAAGCGTTGTCCGAATGGGGTCGCGACGGTGTGCGTTACGCGTTTGAAGCGGGGGAACCTCGCTAATGGAGTGCACAGCCACCTCACACCCCGAGAGACCTCGTCCGTCTCGCTCCGTCCTGGTGCTTTTCCCCATCCCCGTTCCCAGAACTGCCGCCGATACTCCACTGGAGGAACAACTGCTCTCAAGACAGCTCTTCGCCGCACGTTAACCGTCTTCTCGGGCACCCGCTCTCTTCGCTCATCTCTGTCGTTTCCCGGTGACGGCGGGGCAAACGGAAACGGCACACTTTCTCACCTTCGAGGTTTCGCGTCACACTTCCCGTAATCTCTGGTCGGCTGGGAAACAATGTTCTACACAGACGTCCTTCTGTCAAAGAAGGGTCCGCTGGCCAAGATTTGGCTGGCTGCCCATATGGAACGCAAGTTGAGCAAGACACAATTCCTGCAGGCCAACCTCCCGGCGTCTATCGGTAAGCACCGCCCGCCGCAGAGCTTAACCTTTTGGCTGCGTTTCTCACGCTAATACTCTCCCGCTTCTCTATCAGATACTATCATCCAGACAGGGGAGGAACCGATGGCTTTGCGTCTATCTGGTCAGCTCCTACTCGGAGTAACACGTATCTATTCTCGCAAAGCACGATATCTCTTGGAGGACTGCAATGAAGCCTTCGTGAAGATTCGCCTGGCGTTCAAGCCGGGCATGGTCGACATGGCTGGCGATCACGCTGTTGCAAACGTCAATGCAATCACATTGAACGATGCGATGACGGATTACGGAATGCTGCTGCCGGAACCTTCGTTCGATCTGAACATGTTCATGCAACCCAACGCTCAAACCGGCACATCACAGTCCATGTCACGTACGCAGGACATCACGCTTGCAGAGCCTAGCCAAACGTCATTCCGCGCAGCGCACGAGGAGCTGCAGGATATGTTTGGCATTGATCTGTCTACCTCCCACGTGGACCCGAACGCAGCGGACGATGGCTGGAATCTAGATCTGGGGTTCGGCGAGCCTGAGAGGCCGGCAGGTGCGACTATGCCATCCATCTCGGACGCCTCTATGCCCATGTCCAGCAGCAACTTCGACGAATCGCTGGAGGTTGAGCGTGGTCGTGATGCGGTTGCCGAGCGCCCGTTCTCGCCGCGACGCGATAGCATCTCACTTGACCAGTCCTACACTAAGGACCCGTCGGCGATGGACATTCCTGAGCCATCATTCGATTTGGCGGCGGCTGGCGATTTGTTGGGTGGAGGTGGGCCCATGCAGATGGATCTTGATACGGCGCTCCTTGACGACCAGCTGCCATTCCCGGATGTTGAGCTCCCTGAAGTTCATCAGTCGGCGGCGGGAGCGACCGATGATGTCACGAACAGTTTGCAAATCGAGACGATTGCGCCTGTGGACTTGAATGAGGAGCAGGACGAGAATGCCATTGCAAAGTCAAAGAAGGCGCAAGCGAAGAAGCGAAAGCTGATCATTGACTCGCAGACGGAGATTCCTTCGGAACTCATTCAGCAACAGCTTCGTGACACTTCTGACATTCTCGGAGTGGTATGTACTGAATACATTTACTCGGCGCTTTTCACTGCGATATTCGCTCGCTTTCTTTTTGGCTAGTCCCACTCACTTTCTTGCCCGCGCACTTACAGGAACGCTATGTGCCCAACTCACGCAAGATGCAGCAACTCCTCGACATTCGCAAACAGGGTGCCTCGTACTTTATCGCTCGCGCCACGTTTGACTACATGCCCGCGGAACTCCACATGCTGTTCCGCAACAAATGGAGGGACTTCACTGCGCCGGAGTTCTCGGCGGATGCGGAGTCCCCGGCGAAGAAGCGCAGGGCATTGAAGGATGTTAGCGAGAAGGAGAATGTGGCTGGTTTGCTCAATGGTGAGTTACGCAGTTTACGCTGAAATGTTATGGACCAGCCTGGGTTTCCTCAAATCAGCAGAGTTGAATTTATGAATTTCTGTTCCACCTTCAAAGAAACATCAGCGTTTAACGATCAAAACCAAGAAGAATACCAGTTCGGCAATCTTGACCTTCCCGACATTTCTGCCGCGCCCATGGACCCAACCCTTTCGCTCGGCGGCGGGGGCATGGACTCCTCCACCATCGCAACAGGCAACACCTTCCCCAGCGCCGCACTCCAACCCGAAGAAGAAGAAATCGAGGGCGAACCCTCCAACAAGCGTCGCAAAACCGCTCCCTCCTCCCCCTCCGCCTCCACCACCTTCCTCCCCGACGACCTCACAAACACGCTCACCTCCCTCGTCGACGAATCCCTCATCGCCCCCGACGAAGACGACACCGCCAACAACCCACAAGGCTTCAGCCGTAGCACAGTCGCGACCGTGCGAGACATCCAGTCCCGTGTCCCCCGCAACGAGGCAGGGACGACGACGCTGAGTTATAATGCGATAACTGCTGGTGCCGGGAGGACGGAGGCTGCGCGGCTGTTTTTTGAGCTGTTGGTGTTGGGGACGAGGGATATGGTGGGCGTTAGGCAGGAGAGGGCCTATGGGGATGTGGAGGTTAGGGCGAAGGAGGCGTTGTGGGGGGCTGTTTAGTGGAGGGGTGTTGGCACTGGAGAGTGAGGAAGGAGAAGAAAGGAGGGAAAGCAAGGGAAATGGATGCTGGGATGGGGTGGGATGGGTTTATGTCAACAGTGGGAGCTGGAAGAGCAACTATCGACATGTTTACGATTCCCCTGTGTCTGTCTACGGACACAGGATTTCGAGCCGGAAAGATGTTTCGCGCAGGAATTGGAAGCTTATCAACGTTATCACCCACACGAAGAATCATGCCGGCACAACAACTCATGGACGTTAATGGAGGCGTTCAAATGTTCTACCTCACGTAGTAGGCAAAATCAAATAGCTTAAGCGGTGTTGCTTTCAACTTTCTTGTTTTGTTTTATGTACTATAATGAACATTTGGAAAAATACATATGGATTTTGAAGCTTGAAGATGCGGGGATGTGTCGTTGAGGCGAGCGGAGTGGGGAAGGGGGACGGCTGACGCGGCTTTCGGACAACGCGTCCGCGGCATTGCGCGCAGGTGTGAGCGGAACGGAGAACGACCAACTCCGCCCACGGTGCACCACCCAACCATGACCGTCGACCAAGAAGACCTCTCGGAAAGTATGTATAACATGCCCCACCTCCCCCATCCCCTCCCGTCTGGCACCTAACAACCCTCATCCCCAGCCGGCGAATACACCGGCACCTTCACAACCGACTTCCACGATGCCTGCCGCCGCCACAACTGCACCCCGCTCAAACTCCTCAAAATCACGAACCCACTACCCCCGCTGCCGGTTCCCGTAACCCCGCGGCCCCGGTCCGCGGCCGTCGCTAGCGAGGCTACCCATAATGCCGACACCGGGAATGATCCTACAGTGTCTAGTGAAGTGGTGGACGAGGCAAACGATACGCCGGGGGAGAGGGACTCTACAACGCAACCACAGCAGCAGCAACAGCTGAAAGAAGATGACGTGAGAAGGAGAGAGATGAACTATATCTCGCGGTACCAATACACGCCGACGATTTTGATGGAGACGGGTGAGGGTGAGGAGGAGGAGGAGCTGCAGAGGGTGGAGATTAGGGGGTGGAAGGTTAGAGTGGAGATTGTGGAGGTGTTGGCAAGTGTTGTGCCTGCGAGTGGGACGATAAGCCAGTTGGTGTGAGTTTCTGTTGTCCTCAGTGATTGGGAATCAAGATTGAGCGGTTTGGTTTGCGACGGTCGCCTGACCGCGAGCGAAGCGAGCAGTAAATGTGAGCGGCAGCGAACGATCGTGTTCTTTACGCGAGCGGAGCGATGGGGAGCGTAGCGAGGCCCTGTCTTCAACTGCTGTGTACGATAGCGGACAGTCGTTTTTATTGTTTTCTGTGAGCGGTGCTTAAACATAAAGAAATCGCGCCTCTAACCACACTTCATCGCATCACAGGCTCTGGAACTGCGGCCTCACCGCCCAGCACATCCCCCCTCTCAGCACCCCCTCGCTGCTCACGACCCTACGGAGCCTCACCCTCGACCAAAACCCACTTATTCCCGACGTTCATTTCGCCGACCTCATTTCGGAGGACTCGCAGATACGGTACCTCTCCCTGCGATCCAACAATATTGGGGACCCGGGCGCGAAGGCGATGGCGGAGATGCTGAAGGGGAATCGCGCGCTTGTGTCGTTGAATTTGTGGGATAATCGGGTTGGCGCGGAGGGGGCGGAGGCGTTGGCGGAGGTGCGTTTGAGCGTTGTGGTTGTCATTGGGGTTGGCGCCTGCTGATTGGGCGGTTTTGGGTTCGCAGGCGTTAAAAGTCAATCAGGTGCTGGCTTCCCTATCGCTTGGATCCAATCGTGTTGGTGATGATGGGGCTGTGGCGATTGCCAAGGTATGTCTTCCTCGCGGCAGGAACGGGACCTACTTGAGCTGTCTGTCTGTCTGTGCTGAAGATACCACCATCCCCAGGCACTCTCAAACATTCTCCTACCACACGACGAAATCGCACTACGCCGTAAAGCCATGGAACTCGACAAACAGCGCAAGGAACAGGAAGAGGTATGAGAAGTCATACCCTTGAGCTACTGACATGAAGAAACACTCAGTGCTCATTTGTTATATGTATCGCTTTAGGATCCGATAGTCAAGAAACAAAAAGGAGGACGCGCGTTGAACAGCGGCGGAGCGAACGGCGCGACGGGGCGGAATAGTTCTGCGAAGATGGGGAATAGGTAAACGCCTACTTTTGTGGACACTCACATTCACATCACCATCACAGAAAAAAGCAACGTCCCCCTAACCCCCCTTGCACCCCCAGAATAACGAGCTCCGAAAACATCATCAACAACCCCCCGAAAAAGGACGCCGCAGCCCCCGACACCAAATCCAAGACAAAAGGCAAAGCTACCACCACAACCACGAAAGCCCCCTCCGACGCCACCGCAACCCCACCCGCCGCCGCCCCAGCCAAGGCCGCCACAACTGCCACCACAACAGTAACAACCAAGAAAGGCCCCGTAGCCGCCGTAACGGCGTCGGAACCTGCCCCGCCGGCTTCCGCCTCGGGACCGAAGAAGGGCGCGGCGGCTGCGACGACGACGGTGCCGTCTGCGTCTGTGCCGCCGCCTGTGGAGGAGAAAACGCCGGCGAAGGGCGCGAAGGGCGGGAAAAGTGCTGTGGCGGCGAAGGCGGGAAAGAAGGGCAAAACCGAAGAAGTCAAAGAAGAACTAGAGGAGGTACGCAAACAAAAACATAAAATCATCATGGAATTTCCTTCTTATTGACTGCTCCTCCAATTTTTTATGTTGAAGGTCATTCAGGACCCCCCCGCGCCCCTGGACCCCATGTTCGAGCACGCCGGCAACTGGTACGTCTCCGGCAACCGCACCCTCAACATCCTCAACCTGTACGCCAACCACATCTCATCCGACGGCCTCAAAGCACTATCCGACGCTGTGGCGGATCAGGAAGCGACGAGCGAGCATGGCGAGGGGGGTGGGATTTTTAGGATCAATTTGGCGGTATGTGGAGTTTCAACATGGTGTGGTTTATTGGTGTCTCGATGGTAGTTGTTGATTTCTGTTTTTGTAGGCGAACGCGTTTGATATGGCTTCGCCGACTTACGTTCAGCTTATGGCCCTGCTAGCAGCGCGGAACCCGTACGCTGCGCAGGAGGATGGGGAGGGTGGAACGCTGGGGGAAGGGGGTGGAGATGGGGAGGCGATGGAGGTGGAGGCGGAGGATGGGGGGGTGTGATGTGGGTGTGGTGATGGGTGATATTTATGAGGTTTTTCTTTTGGAGATTGGATGTAGTTTTGGGATGATGAATGGTTTCGGAAAAGGCTTTGGAATACCCACGGACTTTTTTCTGGAGGTTTGGAAAACTGGGCCGGTATGGTCGCGTTGCTCCCACCTCTTTGAACTGTCGGGTTTTCCTTCCGAGCGTCCGTATATGCGCCATCTCGTGATTCGATATGAACACAGGGCGGGCCGACAGTGCGATGCTGACCGTTCATACTGTACATGTAAAAGGAAAGTAGGTCCAAACATCCTGCGAAATTTGACGGGTTTCGACAGCGCGCATACTATGAAATCACACAGAGCCCTACTTACATCCTCCTCTCATCAAATCTTCAAGAACCATCCTCCCGGGGGATAGATTCTCCTATAATCACACATTCCTCTTTCTACTCAGTCCCCGCCTCGGCCGTTTCGGCAGGCATCCTCTGATCCGTTGAGTTCCTTCCACCAAATCGAAAAAAGCTGCGGAAGTTTAGAGGGCGCAAAGACGCCCCACTCCAACTTTCGTCCTATTTTCCAAATCATAGCGACGTTGTGGCTATCATCTACGACGGCGCGAACCGGATGGCCGCACCTATCCGAGTTCCGCCTGGCGCAGAACTCTTCAACGGCAATGACCTGCTGGCATTTGCATGCGAGCCAGACTACCAGGAAATACCGGTCGGCCCGGCAGCCTGGGCTCAGCACTTGATTTGGAGACTCCGCTTTCGGACTTGACCCTTGAAGCCCGAACCCATAAACTCACCCACACCCTCACCCACCCAACATCCACCCAACACCCACTCCCCATCCTCAACAAACAAGCACAATGGCGAAAGGAAAAGCCAAAGTAGTAAGTACTCGAAGCGGAATGGCAGAGGTGGCGAAGATGCCATCGAGTCCTGTTCCTTTGTATGTCACTTCCGAGTCATGGCTGCGCGCATAAGCGTGGCGTAGTGGTCGACTTGGACCCCTCGCTTATCGCCGACCCAGATGCAATCAGCGGATATCCGTCATTGTCTGAGACCCAGCAAGAGGGCGTATTTACACCGAGTATGTACAATGTGCAGTCTCCCACTCCGTTGCGCTTCGTCACAATTGCGTGGTAAAACTGAGGACTAAATCGGTTCATTTTCGACATCTTCAGAGCATACCTAGCAACCACGCTCTCTCTCTCGCCGTACCGGGACGGGCGTTCCCTGGTATTCTTATTCGCAAGACAATCGAAACCGGTGGCATTGAAACCCAGCGAGGGGGACCGTGCATTTCTATCGGGTCCGCCCAAGTACTCCAAGTTAGACAAGCTCAAGGAAGGATGTTCTGTAATCCCGATGAGGGAGGCGGCGGCAAGCCTGCTGACCGCCGGCGCCGTCTTCGTGACCCGGGGGGACGGACTCTTGGCCGTCAGCACGCCTGCCGCCGCCCCCTTCATCGGGGTCGCGGCAGGTTTGGCTTGGAAGGATACCGTCTCGTCTGTTGTTCTTACCATCAGCACCACTACCACTATCACCACGACCTTCGACGAGACGGCAACATTAGCCGCATACCATGCATTCACGGCCGAGGAGGGTCTGCGGTTCCTGCGCGATTCGTTGGCGTCAGAACGCTTCGCGTTGGCGAAGATGGACCACGAATTCAGAATGGAGCTGTTGAAGCCTCGCTGTCGTTCCCCAAAATGTAGATCTTTGTAATAGCTATAGACCTCGTTTGGAACCCTTAATACACGCAAGTCGTTCTGTGATGAATCGCTGTGGGCTCGAAAACTATTGTAGCCTCGAGGCGAATTTGGCCTCCATATCTCCTTGCTTGAGCGCATGAGAGTTTTGTCTTTGATCTTCATTGCACTTCGAAGAAAGAACGAGAGCAATGATTGCATAGGCAGAGTAGCGGTTGCTGATGTTTGCGACCCCCGTTATATGACCCTTTCCGGGAGGCACATATACTGTACAGCACGGCCTTTGGCTACAGGGCCTTACTCTGGGACATATGGATTGCCTGGTGAGCAGGGAACGGGGGTGACTAGAAATGGGTAACTCGTGCTAAATGTGGGTAGCTCACCTCCAGAACAAGACTTTTTTACAGCCAAAGTGAACCATTTGATTAACAAACCTAACCCCTTTGCCTTCGGTGAGTCGGCCTTACCCGGCCTCCTACAATCAGGGTCTACCCGCTCCGCTCGGCAGCTGTCTAACTAGTCTAACCCTAACCCGAGTTACTCACATTTAGCACGAGTTACCCACTTCTAGTCAATCCCGCAGGGAACACTCCCAAAAACGCGTCGTCAACGCGTAGATTTTGGAAGAGGGGGAGGTTTCCATCAGATTCATACGGCAGGCTTCTGAAGATACATACATGGCAGGCATTTCGTATACGTAGCTAGAAAGAGAGAGCGAGACCGCAGAAGGCAGCCGACCCCTCGCACACTTCGGGAAAACATGGACAGGCAGCCCGGCCACCTGAGCTCGCCCGTGAAAACAAAAAGCGATGCTCGACGGTAACTATATCACACCGTCGCACTATACCAGAATGATACTTCCAGCTTACAGATGGGATGTGCTTATACAGAATCAAGATCCTGAGCATGGGCGATGCCGGCGTGGGCAAGAGTTGTTTGATCAAGAGGTACTGCGAAGGAAGGGTACGATAAACAGGCCCCGGGATGCGATGTATTGGGGAATCTTCGCGCTGCTGATTTTCGGATCATGGCCCCCGCTCTTTTAGTTCATTCCAGAGTACGTGTCGACAATAGGCATAGACTACGGCGTCAAAGCAATCACAAAGTCCAAAGAAGAAGGTATGGTTTGAAAATCCCTCAAATGAAGACATCAACTCCCCTAAACGGTCGAACCGCCATCCCAGTAAAGGTCAATTTTTGGGACATCGGCGGCGCCCCTTTCTACCACGACATCCGCACCGAGTTCTACAAGGACACCGACGGCGTGCTCGTTGTGTTCTCCGTCACCGACGCATCCTCGTTCGACGCCATCCCGCGCTGGATGGAGGAGTTGAAGACGTATGGGAATGCGCAAGGAGTTACGGGCGTGCTGGTGGGGAATAAGTGTGATGGGGATGAGGGGGAAAGGGTGGTGGAGGTAAACAGGGCGAGGGAGGTGGCGAAGGGGTTGGGGTTGACGTGAGTTGTGCGGATGGTGGTTGGCCGGATGTGTAATACCAGGAAGTGCTAACGCCTTTGCATCCATAGATACTTTGAAACATCGGCAATGGCAGGCCATGCGGTGCAGGAGATGTTTGACTACCTGTTTGATTGCGTTCTGGGCAAGCTGAAATCTACGGCCGCTTCCTCGGCGTAATCTGGGGTATTGCAACATCTTCCTATCATTTTATCCGAAACGCATGCCTCATCTTCATCACCGTCAATCAAACGGTCATTTTCATGCAATCATCGATGTTCCAACCCCAATGCGTCATAATCACTTGATCTGCCTAGTAAGCGTAAGGCCGTGTTCAGGAATGTGCGCATCTGCCTATGTACCCGCTTTCACTTGATAGGAGGCAATGATGTCGTCTTCAAGATGGCCTGACAGACGGCCTCCAACACGCGTCTCCAATCTGCTTACAGAACGCGTTTTGGACTCTGTTTCCGCCCCTTTCCTAACATCTCGCCCACGTTTCCACCCATCTCAGCCACGTTTCCACCAATCTTGGCCAGTTTTCTTTTGCAGGCCTGTCGCGGGCCATGGTGGCCTGGCTCTGCCACGTTTTCAAGACGCAACCAAATCTCGCAACTTTTGCTCGCCTGAGGTCTATAAAAGAAGGGCCTGCGACGGCTTCCCTTGCTCACTTTTTCTTCACCAAACCTCGCCTCGCCTTCCTCATCTTGCCACGGTCATCTTTGAACTTCCCTGTTTCGCCTTCAACACTTCTACTATCTGGTCAAGTCTCTTCATCTTATCCATCCTTTGCCAACTTACCCTCCACCCTCCTTCCCCATCTCTTCACAAGGTCACGCCGTCGGGGGCACAAGCGATGTTAAAAACACCACTTCGGCTCCCGCTCATGGCCAGCGGTCGTGAGCTCGCCAACTCGACTTCGGCTCCCGTTTTCCAGCAACGGTCGTGAGCTCGCCATCCAACTTCGACTCGGCTCCCGCTTATCGCCAGCGGTCGTGAGCTCGCCAACTCACTTATGTAGGCATTCTATATATGCAGGTCGCCGGAAAGGGCTCGCTCCACTGTCTGCGCGGAGATTGTATCTCTGCACGTTGTACATATACTATCCTTGACCCACCATGGAGATGTTGGTCCTTGATGATAACGTCGCCAAAGGGACCGTACGGATGTGGCAACTCATCATCCCGCCCATTTTCATTCGGGCCCGGCTGCTCATCGTATACTCATCCAGTAGCGCTTTTCACTAGCTTGTACTCCGTATTCATCCACTACCATGTTGCATCTATGTCCGCGCTGTCGAAACCTGTCGTTTTCCTGCCATTCGCACGGATATTGGGGATACCAGAAACTGAGAAGGTCAATGCGTTTGTACGATTCGACTTATTCATCCCAACCAAAGAACATAACTCAAATGTCTAGATTCTACATATTCGCGGGCATGATGAATGAGTCCATATCGGGCCTTTTGCATCTCGGGTGGCTTAATCTCACGTTCCGGGTGGGCGGACAAGGCCCCTACTTCCCAAACGCCTTAAACATCCCCGCAACCTTCCCCTCCTCGCGCTTCAGTGTAACCCCCGTGACATACACCGCGCCCGCTGCCGCTTTGCCTTTCCCGATATTCGCTAGGAAATCCGAAGAGAGCAAATAAGTACGACCGGGTCAGTGTACCACCATTGGGCGATGGTGCATACACGTAAAAACTTACATCTCAGCACAGCCAAAGCCGCATCCACGGGATCCGCGCCGTCCACGGCCAACGCGACGGGTTCAGCGACATACTGGTTGCGCACGAGCACCTGCTGCAGGCGGGGTGTGAAGTCCTGGTTGTTGAGGATGAGGATGTTGGAGAGTCGGGAGAAGTCTTGGGTGGCCAGGGTGTTGGAGACGCTGAATTCGTTGAATTGGACGGCTAGGGGGGGACACATAGGGGTGGTTAGTTTGCGTGTGATCGTCACAAGAAGTCCGGGGAAAATAATCGCAAAACACCTACTTTTAACCTCACAAGGCTTACTAACGGCCTCCCAAACCGGCTTACAATACTTCTCGACAACCTTCGCCGCGTCCTTCTCATGTTTATCCACGAGCACCAGCACGCCCTTCGTGATTGCGCCTGGTTCCGCGCCGCCGTACACCGTCCCCATGATGGCCTCGCTCCATGCGGCGGCTTTGGTTTTTTCTGTGAAGGTGAAGGTTATCTTCTTGAGCTTGGAGCCCGGTTTGGAGCCCTTGCGCGGTGTACAGGCGTGGAGGACGACGTCAGAGCCGGATGCGACGGCGGAGAGGATGCGGCGGAGTTCCAGGGGAAAGAAGTGTTTGTGTTGTTTGTCTGTGAAGGGTTGGGAAGATGGAAGTGGTTGTTAGGATTGGGGGGTGGAGTTTATTTGTATGACCGATGTACGGACTTACTTTTCCCTGCTTCCAGGCAATGGAGCTCGATGCCCACGACTTTCAACTCCAGCTTAGCGTTCTTCCAGGTGACCATGGCGTTGAACTGCATGTACAAACAATCCAAAGCTCAATAACTACCCAAATTGATACACATCGTCAAATTCAACCACACCCATGGACCATACCTCCGGGTTCCCGGGGACAACAACCACACTCGACCGTCCCGCATCCACCCCTCCCGCCCTCGCCTTCGCCCCACCACCCCACATCGACGCCAAAGACGACACGCTCTTGAACGCCGCTGCAGCAGGCGCGAGGGACTGCATCGACTGCTTCGGCGTTTCAGGTACATGCATCGGTGGGCGTTCCAGGGATCCTTCGCTGGACCCGATGGCGGCGGCCGCGCCTTGGTCGCTGAAACTCTGGCGAGTGCTTGCGCTCGTGTTCGCGTGTATGGCGGTAGGCGCGGGCTCGTCGCCGGCGCGGGAGACGGGTTGGACCCCTTTAATGGCTTGGATGTCCATGGCGTTGAGGAAGCGGCTGGCGTTGGGTGGGAGATGCACAGCCGGGACTGCGGCGGGTGTGTCGGCCGGGGTTACGATAACGGCAACAGGCTCGGTGGGTGCCGCTGACGGTGATGCTGCATTGGCCTTGGGTTCACGTTCACGCTCGCGTTCCGCTTCAGCCTCGCGCTCGGCTTTGCGGCGGCGTCGCTCTTCGTCGCGCTCGCGGTCCCGTCGTTCAGCTTCTTCTTCGGCGTCCTTTCGAGCTTTTTCGGTGGCTGTGGCTTCTTCTGCTTTTCGAGCTGCAGCTGCAGAGGCGGCTTCTCGCTCCTTCGCGGCTTGCTGCTCCGCTTCCTCCCTCCGGCGCACTTCTTCCTGCTCTTCAACCTGCTTCTTCCGAGCCCGCTCCTTTTCCTCATCTTCCCTCTTCTTTTCCTCCGCTTTCTTGGCGGCAGCAGCAGCAGCCTCCTGCTCAACGCGCTCCCTTTCCTTCTCCCGCAGTGCTTCCTCCTCCGCAGCCCGCCTCGCATCCTCTTTCTCCAACCGCTCAGCCTCCGCCTTCATCTTTGCCTGGCGCACCGCCTCAACCTTCACCCGCTCCTCCTCCTCCTTCTTTGCCCGATCCCTCTCCTCCCGCTCAGCCACTTCCTTCGCGACCCGTTCCCGATCCTCACGTTCCTTTGATTCCCTCGCTTGAACTTCAGCAGCAGCTATCCTCCGCTCAGCTTCCAAGCGTTCCTCCTCGGCTTTCCGATCCCGGATCTCAGACTCGCGACGTTCGTGGTCTTGAGACTCGAGACGTAGTTGTTCCTGCCGACACCGTTCGGCTTCACGAACTTCCTGCTCGTGCCGTTGGCGTTCCTGTCGTTCAGTTTCAGCCCTCGCAGTAGCAGCAGCAGCAGCAGCAGCAACCCGCTCCTCCTCCGCACGGCGAGTCTGCTCAGCCACGGCTTTCTCAGCTTCAGCAGCAGCACGCTTCTCCCGTTCGGCCATCTCAGCCGCCTCCTTCTCCTTCTCCATACGCTCACATTCAGCCTCCTCTTGCTTCCGTCTCGCCTCTTCCGCTGCCGTGAGTTCCGTGGTAGGTCCACCGGGCGAAACCCCCTGATCGCGAGCGGGGGAAGAAGCGACCTGCGGGCTCGTAGGTGACGTAGGGCCTGCATCCCCACCTTCCTTTGCCCTCTGCTCCCTCCTCAATCTCCGCATCTCATCGCGTTCCCGATCTCTCCGTTCTTGCTCGTCCAATGCTTCGGTGGATGTCTTTGCCGCGGCGGAGTCAGCGAGCGGGGTGGTATCACTGGATTCAATCGCGTCCGTAGCAGACACATCTGCTTTGACTTCGTTTTCCTCGATAGCATCCGCGTGCTTCGTTTGCTTTTCCTCAACAGCATCCCCACGCGCCTCGGTGCTCCTCGACGCCCGCCTCGCCAACGACGCATGGAATCCCAGTTTGTCAATGGACAGTGAGCTCCGTTTCTCCCCTTTCTCACCCTTCTTCTTCCCCTTTTCTTCCGCCTTCGCCCTCTTCGCCTCCTCCTTCTCCCTCCTATGCACCTCCTTCTCCCGCTCCTTCTCGTCCCTCTCGACCTTCTTCCTCTCCCGCTTCTCCTCCTCACTCTCCTTCAACGAGTCGCGGCTCTTCTTGAAGAAGGACGCGACGGTGTGTTTTGTGGAGGATAGGACGTTGCTGCTGCGTTTGGAGAGGACGGAGGGGGTCAGGGATTTGATGCTGCCCGTGGGGGAGCGCCGGTGGAATCCGAGGTCGGCGAGGCTGTCGCCGCCGTGGAGGGCGTCGGGTTCGTCGGGGTCGGTGGTCGAGAGGTGGGGGTGGGTTATGGGCTCTGGAATGGCTGGAGATGCCACGTCGTCGTCGTTGACCGTGATGGCGGGGTTTGAGATAGGGTGTTGCGCGATAGTGGCGGATCCGGGGCTCACGGCGGCCGCATGCAGAGTCGATTCAGCCATCGCAGCCCTGCCAAGAGAAGGAGAAGTGACATTGACATTCGGGACCGGCTCGCTAGCCTTCCGCACAACATGATCAGCCTCACTGTCCCTCGCCGGTTTCAGCCTAATCGGGGACGCGACGGGGATCACTTCGCCCGCGCCGCCTTTGACAGTCGCATGCCCGACTGCCCTCTGCTCGCTAGCCTTCAAATCAGCTTCCGCTGCTTTCTCCAATTCCAGCTGTTGCGTTTGCTCGGCGACAGTGCTTTCTTGTCGGCCCCAGGCAGAGTAGAGCCGCTCTTTCTCTTGTTGGAGCCATTCGTCGTCTTCTTCGCTGTCTGAGGCCAGTTGGTCTGCGGAATCCGTCACAGCGATGGATTCAGTTGATGCGGCTATTGGAGGCGCGATTTGTTTGACTGGTGATGGCGGAGCAGCGGTAATGTGTGTAGATGGACTGACGACTGGAGATACTGGCAACGCCACCTGGGATGGTGTTTGGGCTTTGTTGGGCAATGGGATGGCCGCGTTGGTGACAGATTTGGCTATTAGTGGCGCATGGTCTCTGGGTGTTGTTACAGTATCAGGCTGTGTGGCGATGTTCAACGTCGGTTCTCTGATCGCGGGCGCAGATATCATCGGGGTAGCGATCCTCGCATTGTCCTTAATCGGTGACATGCTTGAAGGACTTTGGGCCGACACGCCAATCTGCTCTTCCTTCAAAGCCGGCATAACATTCTTCTTCACCCTCTTCCTCTTCGGCACCGGCTTCAAGTACCTCAACACATAATCATTCGTCAGCTCCCGTTCCCGTTTCCGCCACTCCTCCGTCGATTTTCTCGCCGTCTGCACTACAATCGGCGGGAACACCTCACACGCGTTGCGCCAGGTCCCGTAGCGCACCGTGCGGGGGAACGTCGGCGGGAGGGCCTTGTGCTTGCTGGGATTGTACACGGGTCGGTCGGTTGGGGCCGCCATGCGTGGTTTGGCGAGCGGGGGGATGGGAGGAATGTACTTCATGTTGATGATGTCGATGCCCCAGTCGGTTAGAATGATGGTGCGGTCGTCGGCGGTTTCTGCGTCTGAGGGGTTCCGCGGTTTCTGCTGGATATGAAAAACCCACATCAGCTTCTCCAACTCCGATATATCACATATCCAGCGACCGTACTCACGCCAGAAAGATCGGTATTCGAACTCGTCGGACTCTTCTCCCTATACCCGCTCCCGCTGCCAAACGACGCGGGACTCGCCGCCAAAGTTTTCCGCATCTGCTTGGCCAACGGGTCGTTCCCCCTCCGTCTCCGCCCCGACGCGCCTTCCTCTCGAAGCAGAAGCTCGGTGATGGGGTCGTTGTAGATGGCGCGGGGGATGACATCGTGTTCGTAGTCAGTCTCGCGTGGTGGGACCTGAAGTCAGGGGATGGAGTAAGTGAAGCTCGTCATTATGGAAGGCGCTCAAGTATGGACGGCCCGAGCTTCATCCCCCAACTTTTATCCAAATTCACATACATCAGCCCGCTCCGTATAGGTCCCTATCCTCGGCGGGACCTTCGCGCTGAACTTGAAAGGCCCAATGCGGCCGGAGATGACTGTCATAGCCCAGTCCGCGGGCGGCGTGGTGATTTGTGCCATTCCTCGTCGTCAACCCGTCGCAAGCAAGAACGATTACAACACGGGTCTGGTTGAAGGAATGGGGAGTCCACCTGCGAGAGCATGACTGTGCGGTGCCCCATGGGTGGCAACTGCGGTAGGGGGGGAGCGCCAGCAGTGCGCCGGTGGGGTTAAGATTGCGTCTATTCCGTTTTGGAAGATGGCGGAGGAGCGCTTCTGCAACTGGCGTCTGTTCCCACCGACCCAAAGCAATGTCCTCCAGCAACCCACCCTCGCATCCCACCGACAGCACCCAGGACAGCACCACCACCAACGACACTCAGCCCAACCTTGCATCCCAAGCAGCAGCCCTCCACCGCCGAGCACAATGGCTTCTCGCCCGCATCGACACGAAGCTGTCCACCTCCCCCAACCCTCCGGCCAAAACCCGGCGCCGGGCCCAAAATAAGAACGGCAATGTCACCTCCCATTCCCCGGACGAAACAATCGAAGGACTGACAAAGTTCCGGGCCTTAGCCAAGGCTGAGGAGCGGTTCCTTTCCAAGGTGCGTTTACATGTATCGAAATTCTCTTCATCACCCCACCCACTAACATTGTAATTCCACTGAACAGCTTGTCGAAACCCCGTCAACCATCCGCCCCGCACATGTCTCGTGCTCCAACATTCCCTACCTGACCGCCATCCTGCACCTTATCACCACCGAATGCGGGGTCACGCATGTCTTCCGGAATGTGCCTTATCGGGGGGGAAGAGCGGGGAAGAAGGAGGAGACCGCCCGCGTGGATGTGGTGGCTGATTGGGGGCGGAGGTGGATTAAGGTTAAGGCGTCGGCGAGGGTGGAGGGGGAGGTTGGCGGGGAGGATGAGGAGGACGAAGACACTGACGATGGGGATGCGGGCGATGGGGATAGTGAGGACGATGAGGATGCCCGCTCAGAGGAAGAGACCGAAACGGCGCCGTCACTGTACACCCAAGTCCGCAGCCTCATCCGTGCGCGCGCGCAGCACTTGGTCCATTACGAGCCCCCGACCGTCGTGATGAAGTTCGTAGGGGTGGGCGAGGTCGACGAGCGGATTGTTGCCGCGTTGAGTGATATGGGCGCTGTCGTCGAGGTGGTTCCTGATCCGCCGGATGCAGATCTCTGGGAAGGGGATTCCATCCCATCAGTCACGAAATCTACCCAACACCCCCACATCCTCCCAACCCTAAACCTCGACGTCACAACCCTCATCGCCCTCACAACGGACCTGGTTCACACTCCCGCCATCCCCTTACCCGCCCTCGACATCGCCCCCTTGCAACTCCAAGCACACCAAGAACTCCACACCCCCGTCCTCCCGTACCTCCTCGCACTCTTCGAAAACCGCAAGCTGCTAACGACACGGACGGCGCTACGGAAGTTTGTGGATATCGTCAAGGTCATGGCGGGCTCGTGCGAGACCAAGAGGGCGAGGGGGTTGATTGCGCCTGGAAGTTTCGCAGATGACATCATGGCCGAGCTGGGCCCATCAGGAACACATCCACCAGACCGCGTCACATCTCTTCCGCAGGTGGAAGTGATCCCCGACACACCGTCCCCGCGCTTCCCCCTCCCCACCGAAACCAACACCCGGCTAACGCAACAACATATAGCGGTATTCGGCACCGGTGACGCCCTCCGCGCGACGACGGTGACTGCGAACGCGTGGGTTGAGCGCGCGTTGGGGCAGGTGGGTGTGGGTGGGTTGAGTGTGGTTGTGATTGAGCCGAGGAGTTTGGTTGAGGTTAGAGTTGCAAAGTACATAGAGCGTAGGGGGTCCAAATCTGAAGATGCGGGTGGGGACGCGGACCAGGCTGTTGTGGCCGGGTGATGGGTGCGGGGATCTCGGGTGGCGTATTGTAACGGAGGGGAGGTGTAGATAGGGGCTGTAACGTAGACGTTGTTCAAGCAACTCTGATGAGCGTCGTGATTCTTTCACAATGTATATTACAAGCTGGGCATTGGAGGTTATGAGCGGCTTTCCAAAATGGTACAAACGAGATGAGGGGGAGCCTTTTGTTGGGAGAAAATGTCTTAAAAGACGGGGCAATGCAACGTTGACGGGGGGCGGGTGAGGCTTCGTTTACGGACCTCGCGGGTCGGGATACGCAGGGTTACTCGGCGGTGGGCGTGCATTTCCAACGGCCCCGACCCCCGACCCCGGCCCCACCAGCCTCGCGTCCTCGACCCCCAACGGCTCAAAATCATCCTCCGGCAGATTATTATACTGCTGTCTCGCCAGCGGCGCATTCGCTGCGGTCGATGATGCGCCGCCGTCTTTGGGCTGGAAGGCCTGGTAGAGTTCCTTGAACTTTTTTTTGGCGGTTTCGCCGAGTGCTGTTGCGCCGGCTACGACTTTTTCTTTTGTTTCGCGGAAGGTGGGGCCGGGGTCGGAATCGGCTGCCTGTTGTTGACGTTGCATGGCTATTATTGAAAGAGGGATGCCTCATCAGCCGTCCAATTCACACATCGCCCTCCATACCGAGACGTATACACGATCTAATACATACCCTGAACCTGCTCCCTCTCCTCCTGCTCCAACCGCCTCGCCAGCTCCTCATCTTGCTCCTGTTGCGCCAACGACCTCGCGAGCGCTTCATCATCATGCACATTCTAGAAAATCACATCCCGCATCAGTTCTCCCCAAATACATGATCCGCACCCCGACGTAATGATTTAAGGTGACTTACGATATTCCCCCCTGCTGCACCCGCCCCAGGCACGCCATACAACGCGTCCGTGGCGGTATTGGAGGCCGGGTTCTGCATCTCCAACAACGCGTTAATGGTCTGCTCGACGTTGTTGCCGTTGGCGGCCAGCACGGCGTCGAGGACTTCCGCGTCTGTGTCGGGGAAGATTGCGCGGAGTTCCTGTGGAGGGGGTTGAGACGGGTTGGTGGGAAGTTGGGGATGCAAGGAAACCTTACCTCCATTTTTGGGACTGGTGGCGGGATATGAAATATGGGGGGGCGTTGGAGCGAGTTGGACTTTGTGGGTTCTGCGGGATAATAAGGAGGGTTGCGTTTGCTGCTCGTCGTCGTCGCCGTCGCCGTCGTCCCGTTGAGGGGTGAGTTCTGGGGGAGTTGTGAGCGCCAAGCCCCGTCCGGTCTTCCCCTCCTGCAGCCGGCGCGACGCGTCCGACGGAACACTTCGGTTTCTCGTGGCTTTCCGTCTGCTCCCGCTACACACAGATACTGTACGTGAACACGCAGCACATAGGGGCAACGTGAGGCACTTCCATTCCTGTATATATAGCTCCGGTATGTGTGCGAATGCTCGTTCAAGTCACTTCAGGCGAACAGCAACACTGATCGACCCCCCCTCCACTCCTTTTCAGTTATAGCACTACAAGTTGCCATCATCGGCGATGCCTCCGGCAGAGGTACAATGATGTGGATGGCAGATAACCACCACGGAAAATGGGATGGGGTGAAATCTAGACTACCGGTTACGGGAGAATGCGTCTGGTCTGCGGCCATCGCCAAACACCACCGAACGCACAATCGAGAGGAAATTCTTGGTGCTTAGGACATCCCGATTGTGCATTTTCATCCGTAGTCGTAGTGGTCGTGGTCGTCTTCCAGGAATCTCAAATGGCGTCCAGTCTTGGTTGATACATTCGGGGTTGGGGCAACCCACCAATCCATGGACGTATTCCATTCTTCCCGTTCTAGCTTGCCACGGCCGAGGTGATAGCCGTCGTCGGATGTTTTTCTTCACACGACCTTGGCAGTTGGGGCACACGGACGACGTTCGATACTCATCTAGCAAGTAACATGGAATGCTGTTTCTTGCAAAGAGTGTGCGGAATCTAAATGCCATGATGAGTTAGCATATTATAGTACATAAAAAACGATGATGGTCACTCACCCCTTGGTCTTTGATGACTCCTGAAAGCGCATCGTTTTCCCAGCATCGCTCCAATCACCCAAGATGACCGAAAAATGCTTTCCATACCGGCGTCGCATGTTCTTAATGAGCTTGCTCTCAGACTTTTGCCGCAGTGAGAACGCCTTGAATCTGCGAGCGACGTGAATCTCATCCCGGTAAAACTCATCCAGGGCGGGATCTGGGATATGGATGGATGTGAGCCAATGTATTACTAAATTTGAAGATCAAAATTGAAGTAGAACATCATACCCGCATGTACGTGATCCACAATGAACGCTGAGAACGCCTCGATGTTCATGCTCTTGTGCGACGGAATATGTGATTCCATCTCAGCGATGCCGGCATTGATCTTTCGCTCTCTCATGTCTCTTTGAAAGTACCGAGACTTTGTCTCGACCGCCCGTTGATTGGATGTGTATCTGATATGGGGTGGTGCATTGTGAGGACGCTGCAACGGAATGTCGCCGCAACGGGGATGGCGGAGACGGGGGGCTGGCGGGCGGAGACGGGGGGCTGGCGGGCGGAGACGGGGGGCTGGCGGGCGGAGACGGGGGGCTGGCGGGCGGAGACGGGGGGCTGGGGGCGGAGACGGGGGGGGGGGGGGGGGTAGCGGGGACAGCAGGGCAGTAGTGATCAACTGAAACGTACCTAAATGGCCGCTCCTTCTTGATGTCTGGACAGAACAAGAGGTCACGCTTGCCCGGATCAATGCTGACGATGTTTGGAGCCTCCCTTAGTTTGGCGATGTGGTGCTCAAAATACAGCTGTTTGACTTCTTCCCGCATTTGGGCCTTGCTGCGCTTCCGGGCCCGATACCCATACTTGAGCCCTGGCTTCTTGAAGTGGATGGTAATGGAATACCCGTTTGTGCTGATTGACCCATCGAACTTGAGACCAAGCTTCTTTCAATGTTTGAAGACCTTGTCCTATAATCCGTCATTCAGCAACGTAATCTGATTGAAATAAGCACATAAGGATAGAGACTTACATTCACGTTGATAAACTGCCCCCACAGCTCCCGCTTGCGTTCATCAGTGAGTTTTCCCATGGGACGTCTGCTGACATCCAGGATATGAGTACTTAGGATCAGCGTGTCAATCCGAACACACGACTGGATTCGAGATTTGCGCAGTGGGATAGCGGAAAACAGCCGCATTCCACGGCGCTCATAAAGGCGTGAGAGCTCACAATAGGCACCTGTGATGAGGCGAGGTAGGTGCGGACCATGATTAGACAAAACAGGAAGCGGGGGGGGGGGGGGGGTTCCGCTTCCTGTCGGCCAGGGGGGGGACCACGTCGGCCCGGGTCCCGGCGCGCAGCCATTCGGCCAGGTCGGTGTACCAAGCAAGGCACGCGCTTGCGTCGCTTCGCAGCCACGCACAAGCTGGAGGGGGCGGGGGGGGGGGTTGGGGGGATTCGCTTCCTGTCGGCCGGGGGGGGGGACCACGTCGGCCGGGGTCCCCGCGCGCAGCCTTCCGGCCAGTTCGGCGTACCAAGCAAGGCCCTTGCTCGTGTCGCTTCGCAGCCACGCACAAGCTGGAGGGGGGGGGGAGGGGGGGATAATTATACAGGCAGCAACTCACCTAAATATGGCATTGCGTCCACCGCAAGGCTGTACGCAAGGGGCTCATCCTGGGGAGGAAACAGAGCCCATAACTTGTCAAGGAGAGTCCGCTCAAGTCGTGTGAGGCCGGCAAACTCCTCTTCCATTGGGTACTCTTCAAATGTTGCGTACTTTGTGAATTGACGGACACGACAATAATAGTGTCGCTGCTGCGCTCTCCGGAGATGCCGTTTGACTTCCTTCAAACCAAGCCTTTCATTGACGTAGCGCAGAAACATTTGCATGAAATGCTCGTGTACGTTAACTTTGAGGTTTGTGAGGATGCGGTTATGGACGACGCGTCCATACCATGCGCTTACCTCATGACAGCATCCCAACAGTCAGTCAATGTCAATTCCCTGTCAAAACCTGACATCTGCCAAACCTCGCAGCCGCACGCAGCCGCGCTACCCCACACCTGCCACTGCCTTCATTTCTCCACGCAGCTGCACGTAGCCACACCTCCCAACACTCGGCGCTTACAAACCCTTCTCCATACTTCCCCACGTACCCGCCCACAGCCTCAGCGTAGCCACCCCATCCCCAGTCTTCTGTTTCTATGCTTCCCCACCCTTGGCGCTTCTCTTGGCTTCCCTCTCATTCCGTACCCTCCTGCTTCCCCACGCTTCCCCAGCCTTCCCAGAAAAACATAAATAGCCGCCTCCCCTGAGCTCCCCACTTCCTGATCCCCCAGCAGATCAACACCAGTTCTTCCTAGTCTTGTTCTAGTTCTTGTTTCGGTCTGAATACCATTACCTGTCAACAACCTGCACCACCAGTCGCCTCTATTTCCATCGGCTCCGCCCATTCATAACAGATGCTCGTAGCCGTGTACGCTGCGGTCGGTTGGCAATTTCGCATGCGGATGGGGGCAAATCCGTGAACATTACAGTACTCTTGAACCCGTGGACGCAACTCTTGCGCGATGACCGGATTGCCGTTGTAGCCTGGATTGTTTAGCAGCTCAAATATCATGCTGATGTGCTTGTCCGTGATGTCCGGGAAATCGTGCAGAGGATGATCAGCTGTGGTGGGCAGACGTAGTAGTCAGGACATTGTTTCAGGAAATATACAGTGTAGTGTACGCCAAAAACTCACCAAGGTAGTACTTCAGGAAGAAGGTGGTGTGGCGCGCAAGGATGTGAACATTGCCGATGAATGTTCTGAGGCGCTCCCTTTGAACTTGATTCTGATGATTCTGATTATGGATTCGATGAAGGGAAACCTTGGTGCAGGCATGCGTCTGCGGGCGGGGTCGTTGAGCAGGGGGTGGAGGCGGGGGTGGAGGCGGGGGCTCATACGCCAGGGGTCCACCCGGTGTGCTGGGAAAAAGGAAAGGGATGGGAGCAGGGAGGTTCAACGGACGCTGCAGACCCCTGTCCACGGGTGAAATCCCTCGCTGCTGCTGCTGTTGCCCGTCTTCATCGCTGGAGCTCTCGCCAACCATGTCTGCAATTGCTTGGGGCAAGTGGCGATGGACAGAGGGCGGGAGCTCAAATCGTGGGGGTTGCAATGGTGTGGCTGGCAGACGTATGGGCAATCGCGGGGTAACCGGAGCAACCTTCCTCCTCTTCCGCCGTGGTGTGGTTGCTCCAGTAAAGATGCCACACCACAGGTGCCCCTGGAGCGCCTGGTGTGATGACATGTTGGCTGTGCTGTGCCTTTTGCGTGCCTGCTAGAGATGAGGTGTTGCAGGTGATTGCCGTGATAGCTGTGTGTCAAAGAACTCGCGTCAGTGCTGTGGTAATGAAGCTGAGAACGGTGAGGAATTGCGGTTGTTACCTGGTAGCGGTTGAAGGTGAAAACGGGGATGCTTACTGCCGGGGGGACACGGACGTCGCGGACATGGATCAGAGTAAAGAATGAGGATACCCATACATTCAGCCACACGGCGTGACAGTTGAGACTCAGAGAAGAGAGGTAAGAGACGCTTGCTTGTGCACACCCACCGGATCACAGCCCATGGATTTTGGCAGCGAAACTGGGGCGGACGAAAGAGAGAAGGAACATACGGGGGCCCCTCCATCTCACGGGCGGGATGACCCACATTAGGAACCGCAGTTTCATGGCATCGGGGCGAAGAGATAATGGGATCCACAGCCGGTTGGGCCCCTTCTCTCTCTCCCTCTCCCTCTCATGTCTGAATCTGAAGCCCGACTTGGGACGGCCATGATGGCGTAATGTGACGCGTCTCGCTCTCCGACTGTCGAGAACGGAAGGAACGCGCGCCGAACGGGGACCCCGGCAGGAAGGAAGCTCAACACCCCACGACCAACGCAGTCTTTGTGACCGTACTGTACTTCTTCTCCACCCCAGCAGACGGCCCTCCATCTCCCACACATCCCTCATGACCCGCCCCACCCAATCCGCTCTCCACCCTCCCTCTCCAGCCCTCCTCCCCAGATCCTACCGCCACACAACCCTGGAAAGCATCCCCGTCTCCCCTTCCGTGCCTCACACCCCAACCACCACCACCACCTCCGACTCATCCTCCCACGACGACGACAACGACGACCCGAACCATGTATCCTTCTGCGCTAACTTCGCGCGGTATATACGGGGGGCTGCGATGCAGATCGATACCCAGCTGAGGAGGAGTGGTCGGTCTGTAACAGGGAAGCAGGGCGGGGAGGGTGGCCGGGATGTTGTGCGTGGGGGGACGGAGTTGAGTAACCTAGATGCTGATGATGAAATGGAAGCGGATGAGGGGTTCGTGGCTGATGATGAGGATGAGGAGGGGAGTGAGGAGGAGAGGTCGGCGAGTGAGAGCGAGGGGAGTACGAGTGGGGATGGGATGGAGAGCACGAGTTGGGAGAGTGGGAGTGAGAGTGGGGAGGAGCGGTTGGAGGATGTGGGTGCGGGTGGTGGTTCGGGAACGGCCAAGACGACGGGTAGAAGGAGGCGGGCGGATATGAATGCACAAGCTGGACAGGCGAGGAAGAGGGGAGGCAAGGCAACGGTGCGTTCGCAGCCGCATCAGAATGGACGGACACGAAAGCCGAAACAGCGGCTACCAACCAAACAGACCAGACGCCACCAGCAAGCACGCCAAACCCTCAACATGCAAAACAAAAAGCACCCGTCGCAACCCAAACGCCGAAAAGCCCCATCCAAACCGAACCCTAAACCGACACCGAGACAGCGCCGAGGACGAAAGCAACCCAAACCCCGTGCCTCACCGCCAATCCTCATCCCCTCCGTCTCGCCGTCCCCGCAACCCCCGCCTTCCGCTCGCAAACGCCGCCGCGTAGCCACTCCGATCCTTATAAACAGCGTTTCGCCGTCCCCGCATCGTCCGCACATATCCGAACCCAGGCGGCAGCGGAATGAGTGTAAGAGGCGGCGCGTGATGGGTGGGGGATGGAGGAAGGGTTAAAAAGGGGAAGCTGAGAGGAGAGCGGTATCGCAGAGGATGCATGGTGGATGGAGATATGTGTGGCGTCCGGTGTGAACCAAACCCACGAACTGGGAGGAACTGAACAACTAACGCCCCGCAACAGAGCGGAAACTCACATCCGGAAACTCGAAACATTATGCCCCCCCATATTACTCTTTCGTTCGCTTTCGCATAACGATATAGCGTTAGAAAAGCATAGTAGGTGAAACGATCTCCTATTCGCGTTGTTTACATCCGGGAACTATTCTTTCGGGCGTACTGGTTTCGGATGAAGGAAATATATACTAGCTGGGCTATATGCAGGATGGTTGAGCTCCATGGGCGAGTACTGTACATATGAAGCAAGCTCTCAATGTGGGAGGGTTCGTGGGGGAACAGCGGGGACCATGGTGTTGACCCGTCATAGGCATGTCGCGCGAAGTCTGACGCCATTCGACAGCGCGCTCCCCGTAACACCCTCTCACCTTCGTTCTCCCTCGCATCAACCACCCCTACAGCGACCCCACCATTCATCGTCAATCGAGGTCAGGGAAAAACTCACAAAATGAGCCTCCCCCGCGAAGTCCTCAAATGGCTGCAAAGCCTCGACCTGTCCTACCCCGTGCGAAACCCGAAACGGTAACCCCCCCCCCCCCCCCCACCCCCACTAAACTCCCTTCCCCCTTTCCCTTCTGATTGTTTTAATTCTTCCTGTTTGCGTTGGTTTAAGCGACTTTCAAAACGGCTACCTCGTCGCGGAGATTTTCTCCCGGTACTTCCCGGGGGACGATCTGCTGAACGTCGACCTGCTGTATACGGGCGAGGGGAGCGTGCAGAAGGGGAAGAACTGGGTGGGTATGGCGACCCTCTTCCTCGCGCGGGAGATGGAAGTGTGGGGGTGGATTGTGGGTTCTCACGACTTTCTTTCGCCGTATCGATCCCGCAGGAACAATTGGAGAAATGTACGGGCGGGTGTGGGTTTTGGGGGGGGGCATGCTTATGTTTTGGGGGACTGACTGACGGGATTTTTCTCGGCAAGGAAAGTCTTTAAAAAACACCAGATCCACATCCCACCGACCGCGATCCACTCCGTCTCGCAAGGCCACGTCGACGCCGCCGCGATGCTGTTGGAGGAACTGTACAGTGTGCTCACCAAGCGGCGGTGCGTGGGATTTTGGCCCCCGTTCCGTGGATCCACGCGGGGGATGTCTGATATGACTTTCTTTTTAAAAGGTTGCATGGCCCGAGAACAAAAGACGCACCCAAACTCGCCGCCGACCATGTGCCGCATTTCCAGCTGCCGACGACGGCGAATATCATTCGGTCCGTGGACGGGTCGCCGGAGAAGGTAACTGCGCGCGCGAGGGGTGGGCTGGAAACACAAACAGGCGCCGGATGACAGTCGGCGCATTCTCTGACCATTTTTTGTTGGTGAAAGGCGAAAGTGATACTGGAGGCGCATCGCGAGTATATCAAGAGTATGCGCGGTAAGCGTTATATACATGCGTCCCCGTTACGCCTTTACAAACGACGCTAAATCCACGTTCTGTATCCTACATCCAGTCCTAGCTCACACCAAACAACCCACCAAACCCCGCGCGGCGTCACCCACCCTCACACGGAGCACGACCACGACGACGCAGCCGGCCATCCAAACGCAACCACCAAAGCAGTCGCAAGCTTCGTACAAGGACATCCGCACGGGACTCGACCATGTGCCTGTGCAGCAGATCCGGGTTCATCAGAACTTGGTGTAGGGGTTGCGGGTCTGATGTTGGGTTGGGTTTGGGAACTATGCGGGGGATTGATCGCGATGCTGGAGGTGGGGGGCGGGGTATTTCCCGGCGTGGGATGGATTGCCGGACCCAGCCTGTCTGCTCACAGTACATGTGAAAATGCACTCGTGGTCGGTGCGAGTGTGACCTGGCGATCATGATTGATAGTGTAGTCAAACTTGAGGGTGACTGTTCCCCACTAATGGCGATTGTGGGAATGTGTCATAGGTCACTGCAGCTGATGCTCCTTTTGCAAACTTTTGTTTGTATGTCGTTGCGTCTAATCGATAGCATCGTTTGACCCGGGTGAAATCGACTTGAGCAATGCAAAACTCTGATGTTCTTCAAATATCGAGAGGCGTGGGAGCCCAACACCAGCATGGGGCAAGCTGGATAGAGCGGGGCACAATGTCTCTGACTTGGGCGGGCTGCGCCTTAGTCATGATCGTCGGCCGTCGGACCAGGACACAGCTCGTTGAGTTCCTTTGCCGAATCGTAAGCTGCCGCGCACCACACACAGTAGTGGTGCAGGTCGCGGAGATATGTGTTGACGGCTTCGAGCTGTACCGATGGCTGAGGGGGGGAAACAAACATCGTCAGTCGTTTGCTAGCTAACCCTCAAATCGGGAGTCAAAACGCACCGGCAACCGCTCAAACTCCGACTCCTCCTCCTCCCCATCGTCCAGCACAGTAGCCCCCTCATGTTCCGCCTCCACACTCTCCCTCACAAGCCTCGTCAACGCGGTCTCAGCCCTCGGATCCCCGGCATCCTCAATCTCCGCCGCATGCTTCACGTCTTTCCGCTCCGGCATCCAGAAATCGTTCCTCTCCACCCCCAATTTGACGTCCAGGGCCTCGCACGCTTTCCTGGCTTTGCGCAGATCAGACAGGATTTGTCGTTCGAGGAAGCGCGCGTTCTGGGCTTGCCGGTATTCGAGGCGGGATTGGGATTGGGCGAGTTCGAGGGCGCGTTCTTCGGAGGGGCGGCGCTGCCGTTTGTTGATGGGTGGGGAAGGCGGGCGGATGCCAAGTCCGCTCTTGTCTGTGGGAGATTATGTGTTAGAGATGACACAGTGGCTTTTCGTTGGTGAGAAGCGAGATGGGAACGAACCAGATTTGAGAACGACTTCGATGGGCTTTTGCTCCTCGACGGCAGAGCTAGAGTTGCCGATGGCCATCCCTTTTCTGCGACAGCGAAGGGAGTCCGAGTGGCATGGATTAGTCCCCGTCTCGAGCCCATGCATAATCCCACCAGCCAGAGAATTCGGCAAACCTACCTGTAACCCATCTTGGCCAACATCTGGAAACCCTTGTTTTCCTGCGTCAGTTCCGACGCCAGTCCCTGCTCCCTCGTCTCGCGTTCTGCAAAAGACCAAAATTACGAAAGAAAATCGGCGTTCATTTCTTCTCCTTGATCTCAAAGCCTTCGCCCTGATCTCCGTCCTACATACCCTGCTCCTTGACGCTCTTAACAATCCCCTTCTCTTGTTGCCGCCTGAGGGCCTCCTTCCGCCGCTCTGAGTAGGTTATGGCATCCGGTTCGCGGCCACGGCCCGTCGTAGGAGGTGCCGTTGCGGTGCCTAGAAGCAGGGCGTCTGACATGTAGTCGTCATTGTCGTCGGACTCCTGCTGTGCGGAGTTGGCTGGAGTGGGCATTACTTCCGTTTGAACCTGGCAGACAGTTGCTGATCCATACGACCGTATGTAAGCAACCCTCTCTCTCTCTCTCCCTCCCTCTCTCTCTCTCTCTCTCTCTCTCTATGTGGATGAGTGCGTTGCAGTTGGCAACAGTGCGGGTTCCGTGGGCTCCGTGGTTGCGTCTTTCTATGTAATAGTTCCACGGCTGCGCGTTCGGCAGTTGGAAGCTTGGAGTGCGCTTCTGTCCACCTTGAGACCTTGTCCACCTACAGTACCTTGCTGTCCGCGAGGCAGGCTTGAACACAGGCGTAGTCTAGATCTACCTATTATAGTATCCCCGTCGTCGGGGTTGCCAAGGGTGCTTGCGGGGTCGGTCAATATGCCCGACACAAAAGCCATAGTGTTTGGTCTGGTCCTCGGCGTCTCCCTCTCCGTCGCTTCTCTCGTCGCCGTCATCCTCAGCAACGAACCAGCCTCCGCCTCCGCCAAGGCTTTCCTTCTGGGCGACAAGCACAGGAACAAGCACCGCAAGCGGAACAACCGCCATCAGCACCATGACCGCCACTCTCAGCAACCAAGAGCGTTGGACGACGACGACGAGTGCCAGGACGGCGGCCGTGCCCAGGCGAGGGAGCTGAGCGCCCGATGTGGCGATGGCGTTGCCAGCTTGATTGGAAATACGCCGTTGTTCCGCATACAGAGTCTATCGGACGCCACAGGGTGCGAGATTATGGCGAAAGCGGAGTTTCTGAACGTTGGAGGCAGCACGAAGGATCGCGTAGCGCTGAGTATCATCACTGAGGTGGGTTATTAGGTGAAAGTGCCGCATGGCTGTCCGTATGAAACATATTGACGATAGAGAGCTATTGCAGGCAGAGAAACGGGGCTTGATAGTGCCACATAGGGGTGACACGATTTTTGAAGGCACCGTCGGCAGCACGGGCATATCCTTGGCCGTCATCGCCAAGGCAAAGGGATACAATTGCCACATCGTCATGCCGGACGACATTGCAAAGGAAAAGTACGAACTGTTGGAGAAGTTGGGTGCCGTGGTGGAGAAGGTCCGGCAGGTGCCCATCGTTCACAAGGACCATTTCGTGAATGTCGCCAAGCGGCGCGCGGCAGAGATGAACGCGAGGGCTGACGAGATGGATACCCAGTTGGGGATGGAGCAGGGCACTGACGGGACATCTGACGAGAGCGTCACAGACGACGAGGACGACGTCGTAGCCACGTCGCCCATCGGCTCACCCCTCCGCCTCCGCCGGAAGGGGGATCGCGTGGGCCATGCACCCCGAGGTTTCTTTGCCGACCAGTTTGAGAACCTGTCCAACTTCAACATTCACTACCGGACGACGGGCCCGGAGATTTACGCACAGACAGGTGGTTCGCTCGATGCCGTTGTCCTAGGGGCCGGGACAGGTGGAACACTAGCTGGAATCACGCACTACCTCAAACCCCTACTCCCCGACATGCTAGCAGTGCTCGCCGACCCGCATGGGTCCGGGCTCTACCACAAAGTGAAGCACGGCATCATGTACTCCCCCACCGAAGCCGAAGGCACGCGCAAACGCCACCAAGTAGACACCGTCGTCGAAGGCGTTGGGATCAACCGGCTCACCAAAAACTTTCAAAAAGTCGCCGATGGCTGGCTGGACGAGGCTGTGAAAGTCTCCGACCGCGAAGCCGTCGAGATGGCCCGCTACCTCGTCCGTAACGACGGCCTGTTTGTCGGATCCTCCTCTGCTGTCAACTGCGTTGCTGCCGTCCGGGTCGCACGCCAGCTGGGGCCGGGACATACTATCGTCACTATGATCAACGACCATGGGACACGCCATCTTACAAAATTCTGGAACGATGAATACATCGCCAACGCTGGGCTAACCCCGCATGCCACTGGTCTCGAATTCCTCGACGAGCCACATCCCTACGCGGCCGCGTCATCCCTCGCCTCCTCCCGCTCATCCTCAACCTCAAACCTAAACACAGTCTCAAACGTTGACCAAACCCCCCCACCCACCAGCGGCATCCCCTCCCTTCTCGAAACCGAACAAGCAGCCTTCCTAGCCCTCTCCAAACCCCCCAACAACACTGCTTCCATTATCAACACTCTCGCCTCCGCTCCATCGTCCGTCTACGCGTGGTCACGCACGCGGTTCCAGAAAGCTGCTGTGAACTTTATACGCAACTCCGGGCCGATACCGCAACATGTCGGGTTTATTATGGATGGGAATAGGCGGTATGCGAAGAAGGTGGGCGCAAGGCCGGGGGTAGGGCATGTTGCGGGGAGTCGGAAGCTTGAGGAGGTAAGGCGTCACATCAGGTCACCGTTAACACACCCACGGTGAACTGAGGGAAATCTGCACTCACGGTTCACCTGATCTCACACGTTCTCTTTTCGGTTTCATTTCTCCTCGAGCAGACCCTAGAATGGTGCCTAAACCTCGGCATAACCTCCGTAACAGTCTACGCCTTCAGCATCGAAAACTTCAAACGCCCCGCGCCCGAAGTCGACCTCCTCATGGAACTCGCCACAGCCCAACTCGAACAATTCGCGCTCAATACCGATTTCGTCCACCAAAACGGCATCCGCGTCAACGTTCTCGGTAATACCTCTCTCTTACCCCCCCACGTCCTCTCCGCTACTCTCAAAGCGGAAGAAGCCACGAGGGGTAATACAAGAGTGGTGTTGAATATTTGTTGTCCGTATACCTCACGCCATGAGATGGCGGAGGCGGTCAACAGGGCGGTTGGGGAAGTGCAGGGGGGGAATTTGGGGGTGGAGGAGATAAGCGAGAGTGTTTTGGATGGGTTTATGGGGACGGGCGGGCAGCCGGATCTGGATATTCTGGTGAGGACGAGTGGGGAGAAGCGGTTGAGTGACTTTTTGTTGTGGCAGGTGGGTGAGACTGTACATCTCCGTTTTTTTTTGTTTGTTGTCTGAATGTGTCTAATTTATTTTTTTGGGAAGGTGTCGAAACCCTGCCAGATCCGCTTCGTAGACGTCCTCTGGCCGGAATTCACGTTCTGGGATATGGTGCCCATCCTGCTGGCGTACCAGGCGCATTATCCGGAGATGGTGAAGGAGCGGGCGGCCTTGGCTGCACAAAATCAAACCTCAACGTCGAATGGGGGGAAGGTGGTTGTTGGGGATGCCGTGGCCAAGACGGCGAAGAGCATACGCGATCCTCGCGATCCGGCGATTGTTGTGCATAATCCGGGGAGGGTGGAGAAGCAGAGACGGATGGGGAGTGCGGGGCATTAGGTGTATTTGATAGTCTGAAGACCCTTAACGGGATGCAGTGTAGGGTAGTGGAAGGTAGACATCAGTTTTTGGCAAGGGCGAGCGGGGATCGTCCCGGTTGTAGGGTGTCTATTTACGTACGTAGTTTCATATCATGTCAATACCCTTCACACATTTCTATCATATTTTGTTTTCTCGGGGTTGACGCACATTTGAGTACGCAGCTTTCTATCACTTTGACTGTACGAACACCGTTGCATTGACCGAAAATGCACTGGGGGAAGGGTAGGAAAAACATGTCTATACACACATTAGGGCGGAACTTCACATCATCGATGTCCAGGGCATCATTTCCGCACAGGCAACATAGGCAACTGCAACCCCTCCTCCCCGCCACCGGCTTTAGCACCCGAAAGCGACAAACTGCTCGTCGGCCGACTCCCCGTCTCACGCCTCACACCCCCGCTCACACCGCCCTTCACGACCTTGGCGCAGCTCTGCGGGCGGCTAGCCGCGGGCGTCTCGGGGTGCGAGATCGCGTGTGATGCGCTCCCAGCGACATCCGCCGCTGACCCGCGTACTTCCAACCCCCCTATCTCTCCCGTACCCTTTCCGGCCCGTTCCCGATCAACCCGAGTAGTCAACCCCAACCTCCGTCCCGTATCCATCCACCCGCTCACATGTGTTGATTGCAGAGCCCGGCGGTTAGGATCGGTCTCGACGCGCACGTAGGTCTGCAATCGGGTGTTGGGCTGCGCCCAGGGTTCGGAGGCGAGGGACTGCATGTAGGCGTGGAGGTGCGTGTCGTCGAGGGATGTGAGGGCTTCGAGCGTTTGGCGGTCGGTGAGGGAGGTGGTGTGGGCGAGTTGGGCGTAGGCGGTGTGGTCGGCCTGTTGTGAGTTGATTCATGGTGAATGAGCGCCCGGGGGTTGCGCATCAAACGCTGTCATTATGAAGAGGGATATGATGAACGCACCGAAGTCTTCAGATTTTCCTCCTGCACGACCCTCGCCTTCTCCCTGCGCTCCTCCTGCAGGCGTGCGCGCTCGGCAAGCGTCGCGGCTTGGATTTGGAGGTAGGTCTGTAACGCCTGTGCGTCTTCGACCTGTTGCGCGGCATGGGTTGCTTTTTCGCGTGCTTTCTATAGTTTGAAAGATAAATTTCGGTTGGTTTTCAGGGAGGACGGCAAAGCCAAGAAACCGCGCAACGAAAACACCCACCTGCTCCCTATAACTCATCTCGATGTCCAGCCCCTGCTTGCGCCGCTTCGCCTTCTCCTTTTCCTCCTGCAGCTTTTCGCGGGCGCCCCGGTCCGCCATCGCTTTCGCGACCGCGGCCTCGAGCTTGGCATCCTGCAGCGCGCGCTCGGCTGCGATCTTTTCGCCGGCTTCGTGGTTGGATTGCATGGTTATACTAAACGTGCAAAGAACTCGTGTTTAGTCCCATCAATACCACTTGGGGGGGCATTAACAACGGAGTGATACGACGTACATCTTCCGCTCCGTCTCCAACTGTTTCTTCCGATTCACCTGCCGCGTCTTGCGCTCGCGCCAATCTGCTGCTTTCGCCTGCCGCACCTCCTCCGCGCGCCGCTCGGCTTCTGCGTGTGCCAAGCGGTCGGAGGCGCATTCGTCCAACTGGTGCTTGAACTCCCGCTGCGCTGCACGTTTGGCGGCGTATTGCGCTTCTTTGCTTTGGAAGGCGCGGTCAGAGGATTCGGAGAGGGGGTTTGTTGCCGCCGCGCGTTGCTGGGGGGAGGTGATAACGAGCATCAGTTCCAGCTGCACTCATAGATTTGCATATACCGATGCAATGGGTTGGGATTCCGCCGAATTTGTATTACCTCAACCTCCTCCCGCTCCCTGTCCCTCTTCTCCCTCTGCTGCTCCAACAAGCAGTTCGCAACCTCGATATCCCTCACCCTCGCATCGATCTGCGCCTGTAAAGGGTTGAACCCCGGCCGCGCGAACACGGGCACCTCGTCCAGATCCTCCCTGTAATCGCGTTCGCGCTCTTCTTGCACCCTCCGGCGTTTGAGTTCCAACTGCATGTCTCGTTCCTGTTGACTTGAAAGTTTAGCATTCACGCAGGATGATAGCCGTAATGATATATACAAAACGTACCCGCAACGTCTCAAACAACATGACCTTGCTATGAAACCTCTTCACGCAATCCGTCTCACAATACTGCATCTGCTTCGCACGGTCGATGATCGCTTTCCGCCGTTGGGCTTCTTCCTCGGCGTACAGCTCGTCGATACGGACGCGTTTGGCTTCTTCGGCTTCGAGGCGGTCTGCGCGCGCTTGGAGCCGCTGCTTGCGTTGCCCGCCGACGGTGTGCGTCCAGTTGGCGATGCGGGTTTTGGAGAGGGCGTGGCGGCGGTCGCGCTGTGGGGCGGAGTGAGGAAGTCAGACCCTGTTTGTAATATGAAGCGGGGGAGACGGACCACGTACATCGGCCTTCTGCATCTGTCGCACCCGTTCTTCTACGCCTACACCGTCCATCTGCTGCACTAAGCGTTTGAGATCAACAGCGCTGAGCATTACGGGTTCCTGTCTATGGACAAGTTGAAATCAGCAAACTGGGGTCCGAGTGCATTGCAGAACTGTCCTTCGACCCGCTTACCTCCTTGAACTCTTAGCAGTAGGCTTCATGACAGTGGTGGTGGTATACTCCCCAGCTGCGTTCGAGAGATCAAGAAATCAATGGTTATCAGAATCTAACCCGGAGATGAGCATGCAATTATCACTCACGATAGAATCCCAGGTGAGGCCCGATGTTCCGCGTCAAGATGCTGACGGTCATCTTCACGACTACTTGGGGATTGGAAACTAGGAACCGGGGCCGTTCTGTTCGCAGGTAGGCTTCCTGCTTCGAAGTGGTTGAGTATATGGTCAGATCGTCAGAAACGGAGTAACAATAACGGTGGGTTTCTAGTGATTGTAAGATAGCTATGTAACGAGCAAATGATACATCCGCAGTATCTTCTAGCGCTTTATGCCTTGTCCAGTACCAAGATACGATCACTTATAGCTGGAGTCAAGCGCCGGTTGCCGTACGAAAAAAATGACAGTCTGTCAAGCCTGAAATTACAACTCCGCTAGGCCGCGCCACGTCAACGCCACACCTTGCCACAGCTGCGCCACAGCGCTTACAACGCAAACCGACAGCGCGTCTCCGTTCTTACTCCGCCCCTTGCCTGCCAGTCGCAACGAGCAAACAATTACTCTTATGCGTGCTGAAATAGGGAGGGGAAGGTGGGGCGAGGAGTGGTGGCACATGACGTTTTTGCTCGTTGAGAAGAGAGATCGTAATGTGCTCACCGCACAGGCTGCGAGGCGTTACACCATAGCGCAATAGGTGCGTGATTGTTGGTGTTCAACGTGAACATTGTGAAAGCCAAATAGATCGGGTAGAGCAAAAGGATCCTGTTAAATGTCAGGGAATGTCGACGATTGGCTCACACAGCGTGCACTAGCTTTACCTAAATAAGTCTTGAGGTGTGAGTTGTGGGTTGGAGCAAAAAAGAGGCGCAAACTGGCTTATGGGGGGCAGGGATGGATGCGCCTCCCCATCGCGAACCTATAAAACACGGACCAGCGCCTCGCATTCCCTCTTCCTCTTCGTGTCCTTAGGCAGCTCCATTTATTGAAGCTCGCAAAGTATACACCTCCATACCCCACCTGATTTTCAAGATGACTTGGCTCACCACCACCCTCCTCGCGCTCGTCTGCGCCTCCGCCCTCCTCACCCCCGTCCTCGGCGACGCCAACGGCGGGGGAGGCAGCGCCTCCCTCGGCGTCGCCAAGCAACGCCGTCTCTGGCGCCCCCAACCTGCCTCCAGTCTCCGCCGCCGCGCCGAACAGATGAAATTCTCCAAACTCTACAACGGGCTCTACTACGGCCACTTTGAGGTCGGCTCACCGCGCCAAGGGTTTGACGTGATGGTGGACACGGGCAGTTCGGATTTTTGGCTGAACTGCAAGAAGGGCAAGACGGTTACCGATAGGAAGTTTTTTTACCCCGAGGCGTCTAGGACGATCAAGAACGCGAACAAGACGACTGAGATCAAGTACGCTGATGGGACCCGAATTGTCGAACGGTGGTATAAGGACGTGGTGATCATCGACGATAAAGGCACCGACGTGTACTTTGCGTGCGCGTTTGAAGACGAGAACCCCGATTTCAGTCCCGCGGATATGGCCGAGGGCACGAGCGGGCTGATCGGGCTCGCGTGGCCCGAGACCTCGACCGTGCCGTACGACCCGCCCTTCCAAGCGTTCCTGAAGGCGAAGAAGTTTGCGAGCGGGGTGTATGGGCTTTACCTCGGCAGCGACGCCAACTCGACCGACGGGGAGCTTCGTCTAGGCAGCTACAACGAGAATCTGTTTAAGAAGAACGATCTGGCGTGGAACCCCGTCCCGCCCGAGTTCAACAGCACCACCCCGCGGCACTGGAATATCTACGTCGACCAGCTGACGGTCGGGAAGAAGACGTTTGCGTTCAAACGTGGCGCCGCGCCGAGTACCGCCGGCACGGCATTGTTCGCGCTCGATTCCGGGACCAGTTTCTACGGGTTCACCTCGGACATCATGGCCGAGCTGATCCGGGTCACCAACGCGACCGATTTCTCCAACAACTTTGACGGTGGTTACGGCGTCGACTGCAAGCAGCGCAAGATCGCGCCGCCGTTGGTGTTCACCATCGGCGGGAAGAAGTACACGATCGAGCCGCATGAGTGGATCGGGTACGACCCCGACAAGATCGTGATCCCCGGTTGGACGTGCTACTTGCAGCTGTACGATTTGGGCGATTACTATGTCCAGATTTTGGGTGACCCGTTCTTGCGCAAGTACTACTCTATCTATGATTTTGATAAGAAGCGTACGGGGCTTGCGCTCGCTGTTCCGCCCAAGAAGTAGGTGCTACTTCTATTCCCCCCAGACCCTCCACAATACACGCACCGGAACGGCGACTGGATGTGACCTTGAGCGCTCATGCACCCTCTTTGGATCATCCAGATTCAAAATTCATAACCCATGGGGGAAATCGGGTTCCGGGGAGGGCAATAACTAAGCACTACGAGCAGCCAGTTGTGGATTATCATATACATCTTGGACTTTTTGGCATCTCTAAAAAATTGATATCTTATCTCTTAAAAGAACTTTGTCCGATTCTTTTGAAATTTTGAGTGGAGCTGGTGAGAGCTACAGTATGAGAGAAGTGGCGCAAATCATCTGCCCAAGATATCCCAACCTTAGCGCCGCGCACGTCCCGAAAATGTTTGGTGCTCTCCCTGTCTTTAGTGCAGCTTTCTGCCCAGGCAACCCTCGCATCATTGATCAACGCCCCGACGTGCTACTGCTGGCTTTCGTTACGGTGAGGTAGGCATTATGTGGACCGCAAAACCATGAGAAAGCACATCTCAAGGAGCCCTCATTCTCCCACCGCTTTCGGCAATGGTTTCATTTGGGGTTGCAGTGAATCTCTTCCGTCCGCCTACGTTGGGGAACCGGGTTCAATTGACGCGAAACGTGAAAGCGCTGGACAACCCTTGCAGAACTTTTCGTGGGGCGATATTGTACATATTCACACTTTGCAAATTACAAATCCACTGCCTGATGAACCATGTTTCGCACATGTAGGGTCCCGTGTTGGGGGCTAGGTTACGGATTGTGGAATGAGGTATATGTGACAATACATAGATTGATGTGCGTTGTACATGGTAGGTTGTTGATGGGGAAATTTACGCGGTGGGGGTCGGGATGGGTGATCACTACAGTTTTAAAGCGTCAATTCCTGTGAAAGTAAAGTCATACGATTAGCACAGCTCGCATAGACATAAATGCCTGAGAATTCAAACCCACCATGATAGCATTGACAATATCATTGTTATGCTTCTTCAGCGCGCTCACAGCCTTCGGGCGGGTAACACCCGCCTGCTGCATAACCAGCTCGACATCCTTCGCCTCGACGCCCTCCTCATCGACAGCCTCTTCGTCGTCGTCGGCGAGCTCGGGGACCTCCTCCTCCTTCTTGGGCTGGGGCTCGGAGTTCTTGAACTGGTTGGCGGCGGCGGCCTGCGCTTGCGAGTTCATGTCCTCGATCTTGGCTTCGCCGAAGACGATGTAGGTGTCGCTGGTGGCGGATTTGTACACGTCGGGTTGGGAGACCACGAAGAGGATCTGCAATGTTACGAGTATTGGTTAACCATCGATCCATCGAACATCAGTCTTTCAACCAATCAACCATCGACCATCGAACGTCATCCATCAACACCCATCAACCATCAATCACCCATCAACAAACGATATAATGCTCGCGCCGCTCGCGACGAGGAGATTGGGCTGGGTGGGTGAGTGGAATATTGCGCCTTCGGCGCAATGTGGAGCTCGCTTCGATCGCAAAAGATTTGACACTTGCTGAGGCTCGCTTAGAACCGTAATTGGTGGAAGGTTTGCGCCTGGCCCAATGTGGCTCGCTTCGCTCGCGAAGGCCTTGGCTCGTTGCAGTCCAACACCCGAGCCTCAAGCATTCCTGGACCTCCGGCCCGGTTGGGCCTCGCTGCCGCTCGCCTTCTCCTCCCTTCGCTCGGAAGTCTCAAGCAATCTCCTCGCTATCGCTCGGAACCCTCAAGCACTCTCGCTAACGCTCCCGATACTCACGTTCTTGGGCCTGCGGATGGTAACCCTGGTAATCCCATCTACGTGCTTGAGACCCAATTTAGCCAGAGCCTTCCTAGCCTTCTTCTCGCCCCTTGACTGGACGTGACCGGGAGTTCCGGAGAGGATAGCGTCACCCTCGGGACCCTCGACCTCGTCCTCAGACTCCTCGTCCTCGACCTCCTGGACCTTGGGGACCTTTTCCTCGGGCTTGTCGTTCGCTGCTTTGGACGCCATTTCTAGTAGGAGGAATTTTGTCTTGTTAACTTTCCTAATTCACTTCGGTTGAGACCTCCGCTCGTCCTTTGAGTAAACTATGATCTGGGGCCGGCCTTTGGGCTCCCGAGTTCTGCAGGCCACGATCTGACCGCTCCCCCCGAGGATCATCCAAGCATTTCGACGGCAGCGGAGCAGACATGGACCTCCAGCGCTCTCCTGACGTTTACCTGTGTGTTCTTGTGGGGAGGGGGTTGTTGATCGAGACCTTTCTTGTCGATGTTTCGATGTTCGTTGTCGTTCGCAGAACCGCTCCGCGACACTTCGCCCATTGCCGTTTCCTGTACCATTGCGTAAGCCATGGATGAGTCACCATGACGTGCGCACGAATCGAAAGACAGGCAGGTGAGTTCACATGACTCGGAAATAAAAGGGACGAACGATGCCGATGACGTTCCGTTGTTGCAGTTTGGCACATGCTTGGGAGTTGCAGAAGTGGGAATAGCTTGCCTGACATGTGATGAGTCACGACCCGTGGCCTCCCGGCTTGTCCCGCACGCGTCCGCATTCCCCACCGGACGCGGACGGAGCAGCAGCATGGCATGTGTGGGCAATGATATCAGTTGGGAGGGGGAAGAACTGCGCACAACGGGCTGCTCGAATATTATTAGGGTCCCTTATCCCCCCCCTTCACAACCCAGAACCATTTTCCCACGACTTGCAATCACCAGATTCCCCACTCCATCGATCCCACTATTACAATACCATCAGAACCAACGCAGTAAGCAACAGCAACACCCAGTCATGTCCATCCAAACAGCAAAGGGCGTCTCCATCTTGGGCCCAGTCAAGCCTCAGTACGCGGACATCTTGTCCATTCCCGCTCAGGAGTTTGTCGCTACTCTCAACAGGTGAGTCCCAATACAAGGTTGTGTTTTTACTCTCGGTTTACCTTGCGCTGATCCTGACTACTTGTGTTGCATAGGGCATTCAACGGTCGTCGCAAGGAGCTCCTCCAACGACGCGTCGAGCGTCAGAAGCAGCTCGACGCTGGTGAGTTCTAGTCCCCGTTGGCCTTTGGCGGAAAATTCGGAAGGATTAGGTATCACTAACCAGCGATATCTCTGTCTTTTCAGGAAAGTTCCCTGATTTCCTTCCCGAGACAAAGGCGATCCGTGATGACCCTACTTGGAAGGTGAGCTTCGGACAACCGGGATTGAAGTCTTGATTTTCCCACGCCGTCCTTCTTTCGTGAACCGGTCTCTCATGCTTCGAGTTCTAGGCCGCGCCTCCCGCTCCAGGATTGATTGACCGTCGCGTCGAGATTACCGGTCCCGTCGACCGGAAAATGGTCATCAACGCTCTCAACTCCGGGGCATTGACCTACATGGCCGACTTTGAAGACTCGAATGCTCCCACATGGGAGAACAACATTTCAGGACAATGCAACCTGCGGGACGCTGTCCGAAGACAGATCGACTTCCAGGCACCTAACGGAAAGTACTACAAGTTGAAGGAAGGCCGCCTCGCCACGCTGCTCGTCCGGTAGGTTGATTGCTGGCATTCAAACAGTTTAGCCTGATGAAAGTTGCCCTGGTCTTACCGTCTCCTTCATTTATACAGCCCTCGTGGATGGCACTTGGAGGAGAAGCATTTCCTGGTCGATGGAGAGCCAGTATCGGGATCCATCTTCGACTTTGCTCTCTACTTTTTCCACAATGGTGCGGAGTCCGTGCGCCGCGGGTTCGGACCGTACTTCTACCTCCCGAAAATGGAGTCGCACCTGGAAGCCAGGCTATGGAACGACGTTTTCAACCTCGCTCAGGACATCCTCAGCATTCCCCGCGGTACTATCCGAGGGACCGTCCTGATCGAGACCATCATGGCAGCGTACGAGATGGACGAGATCATCTTTGAACTGCGGGACCACTCCTCAGGGTTGAACTGTGGTCGATGGGACTACATCTTCTCCTTCATCAAGAAGTTCCGTAACCACTCCCAATTCGTGCTGCCCGACCGTGGCGACATCACCATGACCACGCCCTTCATGGACGCCTATGTCCGCCTCCTCATCAAGACCTGCCACAAGCGCGGCGTGCACGCCATGGGCGGCATGGCAGCCTTCATTCCCATCAAAGACGACCCCGCCAAGAACGACGCGGCGATGGCCAAGGTCCGCGCCGACAAGCAACGCGAGGTCCAGGCCGGCCACGACGGCACCTGGGTCGCGCACCCAGACCTGGTTAAACTCGCCAAGGACATCTTCGACAAGCACATGCCCCAGCCCAACCAGCTCTACATCCGCCGCGAGGACGTCGAGGTCACGGGCGCCCACCTGATCTCCACCCAGGGCGTCAGCGGCAAGATTACCGACAACGGCCTGCGCATGAACATCGACGTCGCGCTGCAGTACATGGAGGCCTGGCTCCGGGGGAACGGGTGCGTGCCCATCCATAACCTGATGGAGGACGCGGCTACCGCTGAGATTTCGAGGTCGCAGCTGTGGCAGTGGGTGCGTCACCGTGCCCGCACCGCTGAGGGGAAGGAGGTCACGCCGGAGCTGGTTAGCAAGCTGCTGGATGAGGAAGTGGAGAAAGTGAAGCAGCGGCTGGGAGAGCAGAAGTTTGCGGCGTCCAAGTTTGAGCTCGCTAAGAAGCACCTTGTGGGGACTATCCAAGGGAGGGAGTACTCTGATTTCTTGACGGTATGTCAATTCTTTTACCCATGCTTTGTATCAGACTCACTTCCTCAACGCAAATCCCACCTTCTTCTTCATCCCACAGACTCTTTGCTACGACTCGATCCTCACCCTCTCCGCCGGTGGCGCTAAGCTTTAAACAAGTTGCGTCACCCTGCCGACCCCCAACCTCAGGAATGCCACCCCAACCACCTATCACAGCTGCATATAGCTCTATAGTCAGTCCCGCTTACTCGTAGTTTTCTTTCTGTTGATATATTCTGTGTGAATTCATCGTGCTCGTTATCGTCTATGCTACTATCTGCCCCTCAGGGATCCTATCAACCTGGACCACCCTACATTCTAAGCCTTCTTCCCGTCAGCGGTAGGCCAATCTCGCAGTAACAGCATGGCTCGCACCACCTATGACCACCATGCAATCGTGATAGATACTAACGCCCATGCATCCACGCCGTACCTCCTCCTCCACTCGACCCCCGATGTAGGACAAAATATCAAGGCAAATCAACAGAAGCCTTATCTTTGAACTTCTTCGCGGCGCGCTCGCCCGGCCGGGTGCGGAACTGGTTGCCGTAAAGCGTGTAGATTTTCGCCGCCGTCACCTTCTCCATCGCCGTCGTCTTCTCCGCCGTCGTCCTTGATGATATCGTCATGGCGGGTGTAGTAGTAAACGTAAACACCGTATTCCGCTTCGGTATCACTTCAAAAGTTGCCCACGTCAATAAAAAAGAATGCAATGCTAAATAAACACCCGCAACCACACACACAGGCACCCCGCCATACCTTTAACGCCCCCGCCCCGCCCCACCAAAGTAAACATATTCTCCGTCTCCTTCACCACCACCCCACACAGCCCCACCAAACTCGGACACTTGGCCTTGACCACCGTGAACACCGCGCCATGGTAATCCGCACGTAACAATCTCGGCAGGACATTCTGCGGGGCCGTTTCTGTTCCCAGCAGTTCCGTCATGTAGGATGTCCAGAGGGCGTGGAGGGGGAGGAAGGATTCGAACGTATATGCCTTGTCCGAGGATGATTTGAGAGAGAACCAGCCCGTGGCTTTTTTTTCCTTGGAGGTCATGCATTTGGTTTTTCGGCGGGCTTTCTGGAGGGCGAGACGGTCCTTGCGGGCGGTGCGCAGAGCGTCTGGGGCGGGGTTGTTGGCTACGACGAGGGTTTTGTTGTGGAGTTTGGATGTGTATGTGCGGGTAGGGTTGGTCGTGGGGGGGAGGATGTGGGAGATGAGGGTTTGAGTGAAGGTTCCTGGTGTGGTGGTTGCGGGGATAGGGTCGGGATCGGTGGTAGATTGGGAGGAGGCGAGGAGGGAGGCGGGAAGGGGGTCATAGAGGGGCCCTGTGGCGTCCGGGTTGGGTGGGGGTGGGGTTGGGATGGGTGCTGGGAGAGATGGGGGGGTGAGTACACTTTTTGATGGGATGGAGGAGAGTTGTTTGAGTATGATATGTAAATACCTGCATTATGCTCCTTTTTCGGCCTCTTCTCATGCGGCTTGTTGCCTGCCGGCGGTGCTTTGCGTTTCGGTGGCATATCGTCTCAGTAGTACAGTACACACCGATGTTTTTGTTCCTTTCCTCAAAGTCCCACTCGTTCGTCCCTCAGGTCGTCGGTGGCGGTGGCTGTTCACGGCTTGCCTGGCCCTTCAGCAACCTCTTTCCCTGCCTCCGCCTTCCCACTCCCCTGCTTCTTCTCAGCCGCCCTCCTCGCTTTATTAGCAGCAATAGCCGCGCCAATCCCCGGCCCCTCAGGCGTTCCCGGTCTACGAATGGGCGCCCCGGATCCCTTCTCCAGTATCTCCTGACGACGACGTTTGATCTCCTCGGTGTTGGTCGTCGGGTAGGCGACGGTGAAGATGGCGAGCGAGGCGGTGCTGAGGATGAGGCCGAGGGTTATGCGTTGCTTGGTGCGGTTTGTTAACATGGCATGTCTCGCCCCGTTTTGACCGACCCCGACCCGCTGGTAATTGGGGGGGCACGGTGCGGGACGATGGCAGGTGGAGAGGAGGTTGAGGGAGGGATGCTGCGACGAAGTTTATACCGCTGTCGGTTTGCGTCCGCTGAGGTGGAGGCTGTAGAAGCGGGGGTTGACCTTGTGAAAACGTGGGGAAAAAGGGCGAGGTGTTTGTCGCGCGGGAACAGGTCTCCAAAGGTTCCAAAGGTCCTCCCAACGATCGCAGCAAACCCCCATCTTGCACGTTCTGCAGGCATACGCTCGCAGTACACATACAGTAACACTATCCACCCCCCAACCCCCTCCGCACTTGCGCCTCCGATAACTCCCCACGTTCCCACACTCCCCATCCGCCCCCGACCTTCAAGCCACGTCTCTCTCTACTCACCAGAATGAGCGCCCCAGCTCGCAAACGAGCCCGCATAGAATCAGACGACGAAGGGGAGAACAGTCGGAAAGCAGACGATTCGCTTGATATCTTCAATGTCTTCGACAGCGACGATGATGACGGCGATGATGGTGGTGATCATGGTCGCGACGCCAGCACGTCGAAACAGGAGCAGAACGCGCGACCGCGGGGTATAGCGGACGACGATGATGACGACGAGGGCTCGGGGGAGGAGCTGGATCGCGCCGGGGAGGTGGAGGTGGAGGACGGGCGAGGGGGAGAGCGGGAGAAGGAGCCGCCGCGGAGTACGAATGGGAGTGAGAGCGGGACGTCGTCACCACCGCAGCCACCACCACAACCAAAACCGTTCAGCGGCCGCTCGTCCAGCCCGATACCGTTCAACCCTGGAGCGGGTGGTGTTGACACCACGAAGGTTGTGCCGTCACAAGTCAGGGAGTTCAACCCAAAGGCGTTCGACGGGTCAGGGCGGGGGGTGGTGGCGACCCACAACAACGCTGCGCCGACTTCCAGACCGGTGCAGCAGCCACAGGGACGGCCACCACAACCGCCACCATCGGTGTTCAGACTGGAACCCTCTCTGTTCGGGAAGAGACCGGAGGACGACACGGTGTTGCAGGTGTGCGACTTCTTGTGGCGGAATCTGATTGCGGGAAGGCAGGATGGGGCCATTATTGAGGTATATCGTAGGGGTTTATCGAGCCAGTTTGGAGACATGTGGCGGATACTGAAGCGTTTTGGGCGCTTGGTGGTGGCAGATTGAGGGGAAACTGGGCCTGATAATAGATAAAGCGACGAATCGGAGGATACAGCTGCCTGTACGATCTGAGACTGGTGAGTGAAATGGTGGCCACTAGCTACACTGACTGCACGTAGTAGTCGCCCGTTCAGCAAAACTGACATCACCCTCGCAATCAACAAAGTGATCTCAAACGAATCAGGCCAATACGTCTTCGACTCCGACATGACACTGGTAAAAAAAAAATCGCCAAATCCCATCTGACTCCTCTACCCTAACACCGGTTCCCATTTGTCTGCCCCAATCTCTAGTCACAACATGGCAACTTCAACAAACTCCTCAACTTCTACGTCGAGCAGGGCCAGGGCCGTCGCGTGCAGTACGCACATACGAAGATCATGGACGAGGTGTACGAGAGCCGCGGGAACAAGGTGCGGGTTTCGACTGACCAGAAAACAAAACAGGTGGGTTTCATAATCACGCCCCATCTCCCCTACCCCATCAGACCGTCCCCCCAATGTCTCACTCACCTCACCCCCCTCCGATACGTCCCCAATTCAGATTATCGAATGCGTCACCAAACGCCGCCTGGCCAACCTCGAAATCCACCTCCCCAACTCGCACCTCGACATCCGCATCACCGTCTCGCTCGAGATCCCCGCCGACCCCTCCCTGCTCCGTGACCAGATGCGCGACCGCGACCCGCAGCTCCGCCGCGCGAAGGATCGGTTGAGCTATACGCATGAGGCTATTAGGGTCGATTTGACGCAGGTTGTCAGGGTTGATGTACGTGTAACCTATGTGCCTCTTTGATTCTGACGTGGGGTGGGGTTCGATGGGCAAAGGGTGACAATTTTGAATGTGGGGTTGTGATTTTTTAGCCATACGGCCGCGAAGAATCGCGCACGCACGAAGTCGAAGTCGAGTTCCTCAACTCGGCACATTTACTGGAAGAAAAGACGAAACGGCATGCCGGCCAGCCGGACAATTTCAACGCGTACGTGTCGGTGTTTATGAATAATTTGAGGGGGCTTTGTCGGAAGGCTATCTCGCATGAGTTGCGGTGAGGATGATGGTCCGGTGGGTATACATAGAGAGAGGGACCCCCGCCGTTTCTTCGATCATGTGTTGATACTCTTTCTACGTGTTGATCGCACTGAGCTACAAGTTGCCATCATCGGCGATGCCTCCGGCAGAGGTACAATGATGTGGATGGCAGATAACCACCATGGAAAATGGGATGGGGTGAAATCTAGACTACCGGTTACGGGAGAATGCATGTGGTCTGCGGCCATCGCCAAACACCACCGAACGCACAATCGAGAGGAAATTCTTGGTGCTTAGGACATCCCGATTGTGCACTTTCATCCGTAGTCGTAGTGGTCGTCGTCTTCCAGGAATCTCAAATGGCGTCCAGTCTTGGTTGATACATTCGGGGTTGGGGCAACCCACCAATCCATGGACGTATTCCATTCTTCCCGTTCTAGCTTGCCACGGCCGAGGTGATAGCCGTCGTCGGATGTTTTTCTTCACACGACCGTGGCAGTTGGGGCACACGGACGACGTTCGATACTCATCTAGCAAGTAACATGGAATGCTGTTTCTTGCAAAGAGTGTGCGGAATCTAATTGCCATGATGAGTTAGCATATTATAGTACATAAAAAACGATGATGGTCACTCACCCCTTGGTCTTTGATGACTCCTGAAAGCGCATTGTTTTCCCAGCATCGCTCCAATCACCCAAGATGACCGAAAAATGCTTTCCATACCGGCGTCGCATGTTCTTGATGAGCTTGCTCTCAGACTTTTGCCGCAGTGAGAACGCCTTGAATCTGCAAGCGACGTGAATCTCATCCCGGTAAAACTCATCCAGGGCGGGATCTGGGATATGGATGGATGTCAGCCCATGTATTACTAAATTTGAAGATCAAAATTGAAGTAGAACATCATACCCGCATGTACGTGATCCACAATGAACGCTGAGAACGCCTCGATGTTCATGCTCTTGTGCGACGGAATATGTGATTCCATCTCAGCAATGCCGGCATTGATCTTTCGCTCCGTCATGTCTCTCCGAAAGTACCGAGACTTTGTCTCGACCGCCCGTTGATTGGATGTGTATCTGATATGGGTGGTGCATTGTGAGATTACTACTGCCCTGCTGTCCCCGCTATCCCCGCTATCCCGGCTATCCCCGCTGTCGCCGCTATCCCTGCTGTCGCCGCTACCGCCATCCCCGCCATCCCCGCTGTCGCCGCTGTCGCCGCTGTCCCTGCTGTCCCCGCCATCCCCGCCATTCCCGCTACCGCCATCCCCGCCATCCCCGCTGTCGCCGCTGTCGCCGCTACCGACATCCCCGCCATCCCCGCTACCGCCATCCCCGCCATCCCCGCTGTCGCCGCTGTCGCCGCTGTCCCCATCCGTGCCCTCCTCAACCCTCCCCGTCCCCGTCCCCACGATGTCCCCACGATTCCCCACGATGTCCCCACAATCCCCTTCGTTGGACATTCCGCAATCAGCTGAAACGTACCTAAATGGCCGCTCCTTCTTGATGTCTCGACAGAACAAGAGGTCACGCTTGCCCGGATCAATGCTGACGATGTTTGGAGCCTCCCTTAGTTCGGCGATGTGGTGCTCAAAATACAGCTGTTTGACTTCTTCCCGCATTTGGGCCTTGCTGCGCTTGCGCGCCCGATAGCCATACTTGAGCCCTGGCTTCTTGAAGTGGATGGTAACGGAATACCCGTTTGTGCTGGATGACCCATCGAACTTGAGACCAAGCTTCTTTCGATGCTTGAAGACCTTGTCCTGCAATCCATCATTCAGCGAGGTGATTGAAATAAAGGATACAGACTTAACTCACATTCACATTGAGAAACTGCCCCCACGGCTCCTGCTTGCGTTGATCGGTGAGTTTCCCCATGCGACGGCGGCCCAAGGCCAGGATATGAATGGCTAGGATCGTCGTGTCGATCCGAACAGATGACTGGATTCGAGATTTGCGCAGCGGGATAGCGGAAAACAGCCGCATTCCACGGCGCTCATAGAGGCGTGAGAGCTCACAATAGGCACCTGTGATGAGGCGAGGCAGGTGCGGACCATGATTAGACAAAAGAGGAAGCAGGGGGGGAGGGGGGGGGTTCCGCTTCCTGTCGGCCGGGGGGGGGACCACGTCGGCCCGGGTCCCGGCGCGCAGCCATTTGGCCAGGTCGGTGTACCAAGCAAGGCGCTCGCTCGCGTCGCTTCGCAGCCACGCACAAGCTGGAGGGGGGGGGGGGGGGGTTTGGGGGGGTTCGCTTCCTGTCGGCCGGGGGTGGGACCACGTCGGCCCGGGTCCCGGCGCGCAGCCATTTGGCCAGGTCGGTGTACCAAGGAAGGCCCTCGCTCGCGTCGCTTCGCAGCCACGCACAAGCTGGAGGGGGGGGGGGGGGGGGGATAAATATACAGGATGCAACTCACCTAAATATGGCATTGCGACCACCGCAAGGCTGTACGCAAGGGGCTCATCCTGGGGAGGAAACAGAGCCCATAACTCGTCAAGGAGAGTCCGCTCAAGTCGCGTGAGGCGGCCAAACTCCTCTTCGGTTGGGTACTCTTCAAATGTCGCATACTTTGTGAATTGATGGACACGCCGATAATACTGTTGGCGCTGCGCTCGGCTAACTCCGGCTCTCCGAAGATGCAGTACGACTTGCTTCAAACCAAGCCTTTCATTGACGTAGCGCAGAAACATTTGCATGAAATGCTCTTGTAGGTTGACTTTGAGGTTTGTGAAGATGCTCGTTGCCGTGTATGCTGCGGTCTGTTGGCAATTTCGCATGCGGATGAGGTCGAATCCGTGAACATTACAGTACTCTTGAACCCGTGGACGCAACTCTTGCGCGATGACCGGATTGCCGTTGTAGCCTGGATTGTTTAGCAGCTCAAATATCACACTGATGTGCTTGTCAGTGATGTCCGGGAAATCGTGTAGAGGATGATCAGCTGTGGCGGGCAGACGTGGCAGTCAGGACATTGTTTTATGGGAAATATACAGTGCACCTCAAAAACTCACCAAGGTAGTACTTGAGAAAGAAGGTGGTGTGGCGCGCAAGGACGTGAACGTTGCCGATGAATGTTGTCAGGCGCTCCCTTTGAGCTTGATTTTGATTATGGATGATTCGGTGAAGCGAAGCCTTGGTGCTTGCATGTGTCTGCCGGGGTCGTTGAGCGGGTGGTGGTGGCGGGGGTTCAAGCACCAGGGATCCACCCGGTGTGCTGGGAAAAAGGAAAGGGATGGGAGCGGGGAGGTTCAACGGACGCTGCAGACCTCTGTCCACTGGTGAAAGCCCTTGCTGCTGGTGCTGCTGCCCATCTTCATCGCCGGAACTCTCGCCAACCATGTCTGCAATTGCTTGGGGCAAGTGACGTTGGACAGAAGGTGGGAGCTCAAATCGCGGGGGTTGCAATGGTGTGGCTGGCAGACGTATGGGCAATCGCGGGGTAACCGGAGCAACCTTCCTCCTCTTCCGCCGTGGTGTGGTTGCTCCAGTAAAGATGCCACACCACAGGTGCCCCTGGAGCGCCTGGTGTGATGGCATGATGGCTGTGCTGTGCCGAGACAGGTGATGCAGGTGATTGCCATGATAGCTGTGTGTCAAAGAACTCGCGTCAGTGCTGTGGTAATGAAGCTGAGAACGGTGAGGAATTGCGGTTGTTACCTGGCGGCGGTTGAAGGTGAAAACGGGGATGCTTACTGCTCACAATTGCGTTGGGAAGGAAGGGGGTTGGGAAGGAGGGTTGGTATGTAATTGGGGGCCATGATGAGGTGCAATCAAGAGCGTGAGGAGCGCAAAGAGTGAGGAAGAGTAGAGTGAGGATCCCCAGGTTTTTTACACGCGTGTAAAGGATGTGGGGTAGCCTCCAGGCCAGCTAGCTGGGCAGCTAGGGTAGCTTCTGAGGTTGATTTTGGCTTGTCCACTGCTGATTGCAGCACCTCCAAGACCACACTCTCCTCCTCTCACACGAAACGTCAAGCGCTCGCAGCGGACGACAGCCCCCTCACCCCCCTGGCCAACGCCCGCCCCCTTCCAGCTCAAGCCCGGCAACTCACGCAGAGCACTCTCTGAGCACGCTCAGCGCTGACGAGGTGAGTGGCTGCTGTGCTGCCTGGGCGCGCTTGCTTTATGCCGATCTCGCGGCCCATGTTGAGCACGACCGCTCTTGACTCCCGCAATTGCTTGAGGTGCAGCCTGGATTTGGGCACTCGCGCTGGCCCCATTCTACCAACCCACTCCCACTCCCATGCCCACGCTACCTGCTATCTATTTCACCCCAACTAACTCACGTACACTCCATTCCCCAGACAAATCACCATGAGAGTGTCAAAGCCGCGGCGACGTTCCAAGAGCCGGCGCCTACACAGAGAATAGACGGGGCACGGTCCCCAGGCACTTTCCGGTTTGACGTGCGGGGGACGAATTTCTCCCCAAAATCCATTGAGGGCTGACTAGTACAGCGTGGGGCGAAAATCGTTCCCCTGACGGCGTCGCGGAGAATAGACGGAAGCACCCTTACGCCCTTCACGCTCGCCCTTACAGCTTCACGCTCTCAGCGCCGTGGTTTACCATTTGGTACGGCTGGTACGTAGGGGGGTAGGCACTACTACCAACATCATACGCTTCCTACTTCCACCGTGATCGTGAATTGTAACGTGTGATTGTAAAATCTACGCCGCTCCTAGTACGCGCTACTATATATATAAACACCGCTACTGTCTACATACAATGTGATGCGACGCGATCCTAGTGGTACTCCAACTTCATCATCTCCTCCGTCTTCATCTCGGCATTCACCTCCAGCTTCATCTTCTTCCGGCCCTTCCTTTCCTTATCCGCCAACCACTTCTTGCCCTCCTTCTTCTGCAACTCCACCTCCTCATCGTCCATCTTTATATGATGACCATTCCCTTTGCACATGGGGGGCAGGTGAGGCCAGCGACTGCTAACCATCTCCGCAGCGAGCTTTCCGTCCAACTCCCGGTTGTTGTGAAAGTTCTTGGAACCTTCCAACCCAAGCTCAAACACCTTTTGATGAGTAAACTGCAAGAATGCATACCGTGTGTCGGCGGGGTCTGAAGCCCACGTCTCCACAAAGTGTTCCAGAGCCTGACTGCGAATGAGCAAAATATCTCCGGGGCGGTAAGGCAGCATGATACCGAGATCGGGAAGGCAAAATCTTCCACCTTTCGTAAAGGTCCCAAAGCAGCACATCGGTGCCCAGCCGTAAGGGAT